GTGCAAGAATGTTGGGATAGGTCAGTTTTGTTTTTAAACCCTAATTAAAGCGTGAAGGAATGTCGGTTTTTTTTGAACCCTAATTATAGCGTGAAGGAATGTCGGTTTTCTTTTGAACCCCAATTATAGCGTGAAGAAACTCCAATTATAGCGTGAAGGAATGTTGGGATAGGTCAGTTTTGTTTTTAAACCCTAATTAAAGCGTGAAGGAATGTCGGTTTTCTTTTGAACCCTAATTATAGCGTGAAGTACTCCCAATTACACAGTGAAGGAATGTTAGGATAAGTCAGTTTTAAATTTCTCCGAGGTTGGGTTGGGTTGGGTTGGGTTGATTAAAGACTATCTAGGAGAAAGATATGTGATTTGTAATAATGCCAGTTTCCCGATGACTAGAGGTGTCCCTCGGGGATCTGTTTTGGGTCCACTACTTTGGAATATTTTTTTTGATCAAATTTTAGATGATATGCAAATTAAAGATGTTAAGTTTAGCTAATNAAGGAATGTTAGGATAGGTCAGTTTTGTTTTGAAACCCTAATTATAGCGTGAAGGAATGTCGGTTTTCTTTTGAACCCTAATTATAGCGTGAAGGAATGTCGCTTTTCTTTTGAACCCTAATTATAGCGTGAAGAACTCCCAATTATAGCGTGAAGGAATGTTAGGATAGGTCAGTTTTGTTTTCAAACACTAATTATAGCGTGAAGGAATGTCGGTTTTCTTTTGAACCCTAATTATAGCGTGAAGGAATGTCGGTTTTCTTTTGAACCCTAATTATAGCATGAAGAACTCCCAATTATAGCGTGAAGGAATGTTAGGATAGGTCAGTTTTGTTTTGAAACCCTAATTATAGCGTGAAGGAAAGTCGGTTTTCTTTTGAACCCTAATTATAGCGTGAAGGAATGTCGGTTTTCTTTTCAACCCCAATTATAGCATGAAGAAACTCCAATTATAGCGTGAAGGAATGTTACGATAGGTCAGTTTTGTTTTTAAACCCTAATTAAAGCGTGAAGGAATGTCGGTTTTTTTTGAACCCTAATTATAGCGTGAAGAACTCCCAATTACACAGTGAAGGAATGTTAGGATAGGTCAGTTTTAAATTTCTCCGAGGTTGGGTTGGGTTGGGCTGGGTTGGGTGCCATCCAAGGAAATAAAGCAGTCGGTGATGCTGGCATTAGCATAAAGGTACCAACTCGTTGTAAAATTAAAAATTACAGGTGTTTATTAATCAATGCATTCCACTTCGTTAGGATCGTATTGCACGACTGCTCAAGCCGAATTAATTGCTATAAATATAGCAGCCGATGCGATTATCGACTCCAAAAAAGTCGGCAGAAACGTTGTAATCTGTACTGATAGCAGACAGGCTATGCTGGCGGTTGGCAGGCATCATACTGCATCATCGTTGGTGAAGTGCTGTGGGCAATCACTCGAAGAGGCAAACGTATACAACAACGTCACGATAAAATGGCGAAAAGGACACATCGGAATTAAAGGACATGATCATGCGGACAGGTTGGCGAAACGGGCGGCTAACAAGTCACCGATCTCCGCTGAACCGTTTGTACCACTAGCTGTTAATACAGCATCAAAACTGATAAACTCCATCTCCCACCGAGCTTTTTGCGATAGATGGGATGGGACAGCAGTACGTGCCTTTGCTAAGAAAACTCTGCTCTACCCTGACCGGAAGACATCTACTCAGTTTCTGGGAAAATCGAAAAGTGACTTGAGGCTTCTCACCCACTTCCTGACCGAACACTGCAGGTTACGTAAGCACATGTTTTACATGAAGCTGGCGAATACACCCCTCTGTAGAGGGTGTGAAATGGAAGACGAGACGGTAAGTCATATTGTTTGTGACTGTCCAAACCTCGTGTACTTAAGGGAATCTATTTTCGGAGTACCATGGCTCCAAATTTCGGATATAAGGAACATACCTTTCTGTTCTATATTAACGTTCATGAAAAGATTGGGCTGGTTTTCTGACCCTTGAATGAACAGTAAACTGTGGGGACGTACAAAGGGTCCGCTGGGGCCTAAGTGCTGTGAGTAACTCACCCCCACGTGAAACTACATACATAATCAATGCCTGCGACTTATTAGAAACGTGAGAAGGCCGGATATAATATCCAATCTTGTGGGACTTGTGGGAATCAACGACCCATTAGAGACTAAATCAAGGTGAGGAAATGACGTTGGATTGACCACACGATAAGTAATCCCAGAGAAAAATAAAACGCCTTGCTGCCAATCGGATCAGATGGAGAGCTTTTACTGTTATCCTATGGTCCACATGGAGTGACAGAAAATAAGTCAAGTAAGTGATGCCATAATAGAAAAAGATTCATAAAACTCACAATCTATTGCTGTGATAACAAAATAAATATGAGATTTTTGAAAGACTGCTATGAAGGACTGAAAGAGAAAGCAGATGTGTAAGGTTACATGTAAATATAGATAAAACCAATGTAATGGACCTTAAGACAGTACACAGGTTAAGATATAACTGGACGTTTGGGGACGATGACCTTGAAGTAATGCCAACGACATCGCATGGTTAATGCAGTTCTAAGGTAATCGCTTATTCAACAAAATACCAAGATTACCACTACGGAGGTGAAGCATCCACGCTTCATGCTTAGTTTTCTGTTAGCAATATCTAATCTTCTAGAAGTAGTAAGTATTCATATTTTTCTGCCAGCTAAGTTTTCAGCTTCTAGTTTTCTGAACACAATAAATAGTTATTTCACCTAGTTTTGTGTAAGCAATAAATCAACAGGATATCCAAGAATTGACTTCTGCCAACCGTATCTAGACTTCCGAGATGCAAAGATTTTAGTGGACTAGACACGTGTAACGAATGGAAACTAACCAAGGGGAAGACCTCGAACGTTAATATAAAGAAAGATCTTTTGTAGTAAGGAATTGGCAAGGAATAACAGTTTTTGGAGAATTTTTGATTAAAATAAGTGTTATAAAAATGATTCCCAATAAAATTAATTATTATAACTAATAAAATTGTTTACCGCATTTTTATTGTATAACTTACTGCTAATAATTTTTTCAATAGTAATTTCAAAACTTCTTACACGATTTACATTGCTTAACATGATCGTAAAAACTAAACAAATAACCAAGTTTCAATAGAGCTTAAAACTTTTTACGCTTTCCATTGATTCGATTATATCATCACAACGTAATGCATTTATTTACACATTACCGCTATTTATTCCACAAATATAAAATCATTCAATCGTTTTCATTCAATTTAAATAAGGAAATAATTTATATTCATAATGAATAGCGTGATTAACGATTTACAAGCATATCGATGGTAAAAATGGTCACGTTTTACTACACGTCAGTAAACGCACGTGAATGAACCGATATATTAAATTAAAATTACGATAAACTCCGGAGAGTAATAGAAGGAGAATTTAAAATTTTTATTTAAATAAATTAAAACGTGTACGTTGTTGGTTTAAGCATGTGCAACGTTGAGAGTGTATAAATAAACATTAGCAGGGTCGCACCTGTTTCGCAGAGACACATATTTTATCGTAAAACTATGTCAATGATATGGATTGTATTAAATTATTAAACTTTCTTAAAAGTAAAGATGTTTAGTGAATTTGAAAAAGTGACGATTTCATTTTGTGATTTCTAAAACTTTATTAATAGTAATTGTTATAAAATTTTCTAATTAATAATATTAAATAAAATCTTACCTCGAAAATAATATCGATATAAACTCATTTTCTTTTTCTACTTTAAGATAAACTTTTAAAAAACACTTCTTTAATTAGGATTTAACTTAACTTTTTAAGATTTTTTTACGGCGACTATCTATAACAACACTTTGGAAACTGCATAAGCTCTACGCACAACGTTGCAATTAATATCGCACCGTGAGATACCGTTTGTAAACGCGAGAACCCGGCGCAATAATAATCGCCCGTCGTGATCTTTGAGCGCTATCGCGAAACTCCTGACATTTACTTCTCCTCTCTTTTACAATATATCCAATATCGTATCAAATGGAGGTTTCTTTCTAAGGTTCCGTTCAAGGATAACTTTGAAAGTGAACAATTCCGAGACAATAACGGAAGATTAGGTATTTGCCCCCAGTAAACCCCGGCGAATTTCTTTTTTTGAAAAGTAACCTTTTTTTAAAATCATCAATTATTATTCAGAAAGCATTACGTTCTACATATGGTTAAAAAAAGTTAACAGTAAACAAAACGTGATCGGTACGAAGTAGATTAAAATTGTATTCCTAATAAAAAGGTTGCTTTCACTTTAGATGGAACGTATTAAACGTTTAAGAAATAAATATTTTGTTATATGTTTTAAGACTTGAGATAATTACATTTTGAAGCAAAGCAATAAGGCTTATTGCTTACTTTCTAATGTTAGCAATTCGATTCTTTAATGGTTTCTTACGCAAGATTCGCGATTACGTAAATGGAAGAAGGCCTTTGATTTGTCTTATTTGGTAAAAATCATGATGACCTCAATCTTATGGTTTCGTTGTTATAAACTTAATTTAAAAAGAAATTAACTTACCTTCTGTGTTAAATAACATCAAAATATCACCCGGGGGTTTTGTCATCGACGGTAATACATAAACGGTTTCGGCTGGGAAATCACCCTTTTCTTGACTCCTTTCGCACCTTCCCACACACCATCCAGAATTTAAAACAGTCTCCCCTGTGCTGTCCTCCTCCAAAACAATCAAATCCCCCTTTTGGAATGTTAAAAAGCTTGATCCCTCCCCCGGACTTTTGTAATCTTGAAGAGCGATAACAAACTTTGACCTCTTCTTTAATCCCTCTAAAAAATATACAACCAAATCCCTAATATCCTCAGCATTCGGACTTTGAAACGTAAATTCTTCCCCGCGAACTGTATTCAAGCTAAAAGTTTGTGTAAATACTTTATTGGTTTTTTGTGAAGAAACCGTTGTAATTTCCGGGAAAGATAATTCAAGTAAAACTTGTTCTTGATCATCAACGACGTAAACTCCAGTCCAATTCACGGCGATTATCACGTCGTTTTTGGGTAAATTTGGACCTGAATTTCTATACGCTTCGTAAAATCGTGAGAATAAAAGGGGCCATTTAAATTTGGCGTACGAAACAACATCCTCTTTTACGCGTAATATTTGAACTTTTTCTTTGAGGTAATAACTTTTTTTATAAGCTTGGACCACTAAAGCACCCCATCGATCAATCGCTTTATCAACCCCTGTTAAACAATAATCAGGGATATAATTAGGTAGTAAAGTTAATAATCTCTCAACATTCATATCTGTGTTGTATTCAATATAATATTGTTGGGCTGCAATCATCGCTAAATCTTCTTCTTTATCACAACGGTATTCCCCAAATTTAACACCGCGCACAACTTGTTGATAAATTAAATTAGTTGCAACTTGATCTTCAGTTGGGTCGTGCCATGGTGCGAAAATTTCTTTACGGAAAAATAATCTCCAGGGGGCGTTTCTTTCTTGAGCACCTTGTTCTTTTGCGTATTGTTCGCATTGTGAAATTGCATCCATAACATGATCGCCAGCACTTCCAAGTGATGATACCTTATCAAATAAAGCGATGTAAAGTGAGAATCCGAATTGATCTTTTAATCCTATTTTATCTGATAATTGATTACATAATTCTCTTGCAGTTGTTGCTGAATCAGCTAATAAAGTTTTTGTGTGCCCATCCATAAATGTTATTGGTAACATAATAGGTTTTTTTGATTTTGTTGCTTGCAATTCCAACCAACTCGGTGGTTGATTTCTAGTTCCGTTATTAAACGTACGTTTTAATCGATCTTCGCAATAAGGCGCATAACCAGGTGGTCCCTCTCTAATAAAAGCTCTTAAATAATTCACAAATTTTTCAGAAGGTGCAAAACATCCAACGCAAAGCGATAATAAAATCCAACCTCGAGCGTGTGATGATTTCGATGGATTATTTGTTAATTGTTTACAAATTTGGCAATAAATTTCATCTCTTAATTCAGCTCGCAAAATACCGTGACCGATTATAAAGTGTAATTTTTCTAAATTCGACGTTGGTCTTGATTCCAACCAGCTTTGATAACTATCAGCTGTGTATTCTTCATCTTGAAGTTTTCTTCTTACATCTTCACCCAGTTTGTTTTTACGTTTCAAGGTTAACGAGACTAATTTATTACGAATTGAGCGTGGTTTTTGCTTCATAAAAGAATCGGGATCTAAACCCATTAATTGGGCTTCTTGAAATTCTTTACTTCTTATGAAATTTCTTCCTAAAGTTGCCGTTACTTTTGACATAACTGAGGTGTTATCGCGTTCCATTGTACTATAACGTGGTTCTGGTAAATCTCCAGTGAATCGTAAGATTGTTATCCATAAAGCTTGCGCTGCCTAAAAAATAACAAATATTATAAATATAATCTTTAAATATTATTTTTAGTATTACCAATTGATCCCCTTGAGTATGTAACGGTAATAATGGATGTTTTAAAGGTTTCCTGGAATATTGATGGCCGATATTTCCTTGGAAATAAGTAGCGGCGAATTTTTGGAATTTAAATTCGGATAGATCCTCTTCATCTTCGGATTGTGTTTGCATTGGGCTGATGATTTCATTTTCAGATGGTTGTGAGGGAAGGTCGTTAAAAACTGATGTTTCTCTTCCTGAAATTTTAAAACGGAATTCTATAGGTTCATTGATAGGTTTCATTAGAAACGCGTGAAGATAAACTAAACTTTGGATCAATCGAGATTTACTTTGAATTTAGATCGATATGTAAAGAGAGAGTTACATGTTTATTATTTCTTTTGAAGAAAGTATTTCATAAAACCCTGGTACTATCTGTGTCAACTGAAATTGGGGCGCTGAAACAACATTAATATGCAAGAAAAACGATTGATATGTACATTACACCAACAGAAAATTAATTAAACAGAAATTATAAAAGCAGTGATTTTTCAGTAAGTGAAATAATGAAATAAAAATCTATCATTAAATACAATTAAACACAAAGCTAGAACAAATAGATATGTCTAGGCACTCCTACCTGGTGTAGGAGCTTCACTTGAACTATCAGGTAGAAAATCAAACATCGCCTCAACCAATTTCGAATCATCAACAGGTTCATCAGCTTTTCTTGCAGCATCATTTATCAAATTTTTCTTCATTTCAACGCGTCTTCTGTCCTCCATTTCCAACTCCATTTCTTTACGTTCCAACTCAAACATTCGTTCTCTAAAAAATATATTTTGTAATTCGCGACGGTAATAAAAGCTATTATATTACTCAAACGGGTGCTGTAATGAGACTCCTTACAGCATCCGATGCTGTAATGAGACTCCTTACAGCATCCGATGCTGTAATGAGATTTTGGTAACATTTTATGGACCAGTTCAAGTTGGTGGTTATTAATTTATCTAGTTTTTTATCTAATTTGAATGAATGAGTGCTTTAAGTCTTATGAAACGTGTTTTTTATGCTATTTTTTAAAGTAGTTTCTTTTTATATAAAAGAGATCGTCTCCCGAATAATTATTTTATCAATTTTCACAACTTCCTCTTTCTTTTGAACTTGCATTGACATTTTCGTGGACGTACTAAATTTGAATATTTATTTATCAGACCTTTAGCTACAGAACGACGAAAATCTGATAGAATATTGAGAAAAAACATATTGAGCAAAAAATAACATTTTCGCTAATCTAAATGTCAAAAAAGATGCTAATTCAAAAATTCCTGGAAGAAGGAAATGAAATTTATTTTAAATTGAAGCTTAAAGCTGTCTGTTTAAATCGATGTATAATAATCGTTGGGTTGAATTAGAAAAATATTGAGAAAAAGAGTATCGAGTTAAAACTAACATTTTCGTACAACCTCAAAATGTCAAAAAAGATGCTAATTTAAAAATTCCTAGAAGCCGTATTTATTGAAATTAAGGAATGAGACTTATTCTAAATTAAAACTCAATGCTTTCTCTTTAAAATGATGTATAATAATGGTTGTGTTAGATCACAAAAATGTGGAGAAAAAAAATGTTGAAATTAAACTTACATTTTGGTATAACCTAAAAATGTCAAAAAAGATGCTAATTTAAAAATTCCTGGAAGCTGTGTTTATTGAAATTAAAGGATGAAACTTATTCTCAATTAAAGCTCAAAGCTTTCTCTTTAAAATGATGTATAATAACTGTTGGGTTGGATTGGAAGAATATTGAGAAAAAAAAATTTTAAATAAAACTTACATTTTCGTATAACCTAAAAGTGTCAAAAAAGATGCTAATTTAAAAATTCCTGGAAGCTGTGTTTATTGAAATTAAGGAATGAAACTTATTCTAAATTAAAGCTCAAAGCTTTCTCTTTAAAATGGTGTATAATAATTGTTGGGTTGGATTGAAAAAATATTAAGAAAAAAAATGTTGTAACAACACTTACATTTTCGCATAACCTAAAAGTGTCAAAAAAGATAATAATTTAAAAATACCTGGAAGCCGTATTTATTGAAGTTAAGGAATGAGACTTATTCTAAATTAAAGCTCAAAGCTTTCTCTTTAAAATGATGTATAATAATTGTTGGGTTGGATTGGAAAAATATTAAGAAAAAAAATGTTGAAACAAAACTTACATTTTCGTATAACCTAAAAGTGTCAAAAAAGATGCTAATTTAAATATTCCTGGAAGTTGTGTTTATTGAAATTAAGGAATGAGACTTATTTTATATTAAAGCTGAATGCTTTCTTTTTAAAATGATTTAAAATGAATTTTTAAAACTACCGGTACTTTAAAGTACCGTCGGGACACAAAGGGTTAATATTTATTTTACACAACATAAAAAATGTGTTTAAAAAAAATTTACCTGTAATTTTGTTCCGCAATTTCTTTAGCTCGTTTATTCCCAGCGTCTTTCAACTCCCTTTCTTCTTTTTTCTTCAATTTCAAAGCTTCGATATGCTTTTTATGTTCCAATTTAATCTTTTTAAACCGCCGTTGAGCAATCATTCTTCTCACGTGAGATTGTATCTTTATAATCGCCCACATTTTATGTCCGTACTCCCTTCGAACTAAATATCCTCGAGCGTGAGCTTGTAATCCAACAATATGACCTCTTAAGTGTCTAAAACGATGTGATAAAACGCGACTTCGAATCAAAGCTTGTAATCTCATGTAACCGACTTTCATTTGATTGTATTTTTTTCTTTGTAGATATCCTTTAACGTGTTTTTGGACAATAATAACGGCAGCTTTTAATCGTTGGAATCTTCGTCGATAAACCCAACCTCTTATATTTTTTTGAAGAATTAAAATTTTTCGTGTAATCACCCGATCACGTTCTTGTTCTAAGAAAAGATCGTGAGCGTCTTTTAAAAAGACTTTTGTGTTTCCAAGCTGATAATCGGAGTGACCTAAAACGGCTTTGCAAATACGAGATGTTGCTAATCTACAATCGGTTTTATGTGATGGTGGAATTCCTGAGATTAAAAATCGATATCTTTCAACGAATTCTTTAAAAGTGTGGCGAATTGGATATCCAGCTCTTCGAATTCGAATCGTTTCCATCATGCCTGAATATCTTAATTGGCGACAACATAAATTTCGATCAAACATCATTGGTTTTTTGATTTCGTTTGGTTTTATGCATCTTATAAAAAAAGGTTGGCAATTTGATAGAGTTTTCATTAAAGAATCTAAACTCTTTTTGAATTGTGTTGATAAAGTTGGGGTTCGTTTTCTTGTTTCTGCACCCATCCCTATATCGTCGATAAATAATTGTTGTAGGAAAGAATTTTTTGAGATTGTAACTAATTGTAGTAAATCAGCGCTAAATGTATCTCGATTTTTTTCTAAAAATCCTCGAGTATCGTAAAAAACGATCCCAGCGAAATGATTTAAACCAAAACTTGTGTTTATATCTGATTTGGGTTTTAAATAGTTTCGGTGCCCTCCATGAGTTTTATGTAATTTGGCTAACATAGTTTGATCCGTTCCTTTGGGAAATTTGCTTTCTTCATCGATTAGAGCCATAATGTTTAGTTGTTTAACTGCAATTAAATCAAGCGCATCTTGATTATCAACGAATTCTATGTGTTGCCAATTAATAGCTTCGAGATTATATTCTTCTTGCTCCAATTTAAAAATGTGACGAACAAAAAATTGTTGTAAATTCTCATTGGCGTAATTAATACAAAATTGTTCAAAACTGTTATGATTAAAATTCTCAAAACCGAATATATCAAGAACACCTATCGATCTTCTACTTATCCTTTCTTTAGCTTTATGTATTGCACTGTTTATTTTTTTAACAATAAATATAAATAATCGCCCATAGATGCCTTTAACGAATGCGTCACGGACATCGACACTTTGCTCTCGAGATAAAGTTGAAATTACAGTTTCTCCATGAGCAAATAATGTTTTTCTTGTTAAAGCATCGATGAGAGGTTGAGGAGCAACCCCTAATAATTGCGCAACCCGATGAACGTTGGTGTGATCGGGAATTTCTGTGGCATCTAAATTATCAACGACTGTAGCTTTGTACTTTATGTTTCCTGTGTGAAGTAAAGCTGCTAAAAGTTTTAGAATATCCCAAATTTCTTGATCAGTAAATAATAATACTTTCATTGCGCTTCGAATATCTGCAAATTCTGCTGCATCAGCTCTTCCTTCACAAGTTATACAACCACCCTAAAAAATAAAATTAAAATGAAACAAAAAATAAAGATAAATTAAAAATTAACTCACCCCAGTTAAATATCGATATTCGCTAGCATCCCCAAGATCTAATTTCTTTTTATCTTCTCGATTTAACCCCGCCAATAAACAATAAAAAATGTGATAATTTCTTTCATCAGGGTTTTGACTAACAATTCTACTTTTTTCTAATAAATACTGTTCGATTTTAGCCCCTTCAATAACACCGTTTGTACTAAAATGAATATCGATGTATTTCCCAAATCTTGAGCTGTTATCGTTTCGAACGGTTTTAGCATTTCCAAAAGCTTCCAAAATGGGGTTCGCCTCTAAAATCTGTTGCTCTATCCACGAATGTTTCCCACTTATCGCAGCTAAATATTGCAAAATCAACTTTGTGCTTTCCGTTTTTCCTGCTCCCGATTCCCCGGAGATAACGATACATTGATCTTGGCCGTATCTTCGCATGTTCGCGTAACAATTATCGCCTATCGCAAAAATGTGTGGTGGAAGTTCTCCGATTTTCCGCTCTTTGTACAATTTGATTTGTTCAGCCGTATAAATTGGGAGAATTTGGTATGGATTAACTGCTACTAAGATTGAACCAGTATACGTCTAAAAAATATGAGAAATCCTTCATGGTTAAATAAATAAAGTGTCCTTATAATAAATTACTCAAGCTTAAAGTTAAAAATTATAGTCGTAATGAAACCGTAAATTTATCTTTATGCTTTTAACTTACGTAAATGAGATTCTCATTGTATCTGATCAACAAATTCCTGAGTATTCCTGCTTCGTGGAGATCACCTAATCCGATCATATCTTCCACTCCGTGAATGGAGGTGGTGTGCATTGCTTTAATTCTTCGATCTGGTTGTAACCAATGCTCCTCACCGTCGTCATCTCGGACAGCGATCCTTCGCCCTTCCGCCGAGACGACTTTTGCTCCGATTGCAACGTCGAACTCATTTCCTGATATTGGTTCGATCCAAATATAGTCACCCTAAAAGTATAAAAAATGTTTTTATAAATCATTTATTAACTGAAGATAAAAATAATACTCAAGAATATAAGATATTTTATAAGATAAAAGTATAATTTATAGTAAGTAGTGCGTGTTTCCTTCTAAGAAAGAGATTATGTAAATCTCGGCAGGAAAAAGTAATGAAATTAAAGTCGAAGTATCTCTAAAGTTCTCTTATTTTGAAATAATTTGCATTGCTAATTGTATTCAAAAAATAACTAACCTTGTTTTTAAAGAGTTAATAAAGGTTTAGATTGTTAAAAAGAAGATGTGTTATGTAGATGTTAATTAAAAGATTTTTTTGAATAACCCCCGGCTCCTCCACCATCACATTTTAGTACTCTTAATTATAAAATTGCAATTAATTTTTTTTTTGAACCCGAATAAGTTTCAGCAATTACATGAGAAAATAGAATTCAATGTACATTGTTTTCTCCGCATCTTCTATTTTAAATTCAACTCTAATGATCCCAACAGTAAAAGTGGCACACCTGCTCTCAGTCACCTGCGCATTTTATTTCTTCACATTTTCTCCTACATACACAAATATCGAGACATACTTTTACATACTTTTCAAGACATACACACAAATGAAAAGATATTTTTGTTTGTTTTATTTCCAATAAATCTTTTTATACTCTTTTTTTTTTCAAAAAATAAAATTTTATTCTTCCGTTTAGGATGTCCGGTATCACAATAATGTATCTGGGATGCGTGATGATTAAACAACGGGCGGTTTTATGGGGGCCCCGTTGGTCGACCCGTTCCGAACCACCAAACCGTGTCAGCGTTGTTTCCGGTGTATGCCGCACCAACAACGAGCACAAACTCTGCGAAACAAACCGTCGACGTGAAGAATAAATTAAGCGAACACCACAAGAGATCATCATCATGTGATACCTTCAAACTGTGTCAACTATGTGCATAGAGAAAGTAAATAAATCCATTAAAAAGTCTCTTCTTATACATTCCTTGACTTCTTAAACACACAACTCATAAATTTGATTGATTACTTTCTCTATATCTATGAAGAAAAATTTCACCTTGACAAATCTTTTTCCATCCAACCCGTCTAAATGTTCTTGCCGTATTTGTTCTTGCCGTTGCCGTGGTTTCGCTTAAAAAAACTGCAAGACTTTCTACGTTTCAAGCTCATCTTATGGTTTTATACAATCGTGATCTTCAGTCTCGTTTCTGTCTGACCTTGAAATTAACATTTCTTGTTGCTTGAAGAACGAGACGTTGTCGACGAGATACTCGCATAATGCACGTAACTTGTTCGATCTCGACGACGAATTACAAGCTTTTGCTGTCTTACGATGAATTATTCTCCTTTCATATTAACCGGGTTAGAGAAAAAAAATAAAGCGATAAGTTTAACATTTAAAATGTTGATATTCTCGGTTTCTAATCTATGAATAAACAAGAAAGTGTTTGAGGTAATTGTATTTCTGAAACAGTTAGTTGATTTTTCATAAAGTTTCTCTTCTTTAAAATCATTTAACGATCAGCAGATTTAAGTTATTGGTAAATAGAAAGAAGATTTTTTTGTATGAAAGGAGGTCTATGTGTGCGAGAAGTACAGTTAGGTTTTCTGCCAAATTTGAATTTAAACTAGATTGTAAATGGATATGGTGACTTAAAGGTCGTCAATTCTCTGTTTGGAAACGTTAACAGTTAAATGTTAAATTTTATATTACTTTCGAAATTCCTATTTTTATGGTCGTTTCTTCAAACGGTATTGTTAATGATTGTAGAAATTTTTATAAAGGTTCTTACCCTCGTCACGATAACCATTGTAGAAGGTCATCAACGCCACCTAAAACAAAATAAAATAATTTTATTTGATTGTAATAAAACATAATTAATAATAATATAATTTAATTTAAGCTGATGCTATGAACGTTTAAGCTCTTCGAAAAGATAAGTGTCAGAAGTGATCATAACTTAACATCTCGCTGCTAGTAATGTGCGCAAAGTGTCATGTATATGTATACGACAATTCCAGTATCTAGATGATATCTAGGAGTTAGATACAGTTTCGATAGTAGCTAAAACCATAACCTAGTAGTTGATTCCAATACTTCCAATAATTAGGCGCATCCAGAAGTTAAGTTTTGTTACTATAGATAGTAGTAATTGGTTGATATCAGTATTTAGTAGATCATCACTAAACGCAGAATATGATCATAATCATAATGGCTAGAAGCCATTTCCAAAGAAGGATGTAACATGAAGCAAAAACCTTTACGTATTATTAAAGTAAAATTATTTGTAGGGAAAGTAAAAATTCACTTTATTTTTTACAAACTGTTAACAAATAGCAAGAACAATACAATAAAACGAGCGCTCTAACGTCACGCACATATTATGGTATTATGTAGAACAACATCCCCTATTTCCCTTTACCATAGGAACAAGCGAAACTATCATTATCGTTAACGAACCGTAGAACAATAGCTCCATTCACCTGTTGCGGAATCTTCGAACGGATTCTCCACACAACAAGCATTTTTCAATGTATTCGCCAGCAAGAAAATACGACAGAAAGAAAAAGAAAACCTTTACCTATTGTTAAACTTGTGTTTTATGGACCTCCATAACACTTTTAATGGGATAATTTCTTACATCACACCACCGTGAATAATGACTCTTCGTGAAAACGTGATTACGAAATAAAATAAAAAGAAACATTTTGATGATTCGAGTAAATTTCGTTTTCGGAGCTTTTAAAGCGTAAATGATGATTCGATTAAAAAAACTTTTTGATGGTTATTATAGAGTTTATAAACGGTTTCGGTCGCGGCTAATGAACTGTTAAATCCTTGCGGTTTTAATAACAGTAACCTAGTTCTCAAACTCTGCGTTGGATTATTACCAGTGAAATTTGTGTCGCGAGTTTAACTTTTAAGTACGACTTTTGAACTAAAAAAAGAAAACTTTTTATTAATGCATACCATCATAGCCTAAGGTTAACGATACGTTTACTGTCAACCGAAAGAATGTTTTAAGACGAGTTTTATACCCTAAGGGTACATAAAACTCTCTACTACTACTCTCTCGCCATATCGGATAGTGTGGTATACGAAGAACGAAGCCTATACGTTACTGCCTACAATTGAAATTCCTCCTCGGATCAGGTGTCCCATTCAGAGCAGAAAGATAATGATGGCAATCAGTTTCTCTTCTCCTCGACTCGGATACGTTAAAGTCTCCGTTGTCTACACGCCCCAAGAAGATGACATTTTTCAAGCTACACTGAACGTGATTTTTATGCTCGATTACCATCGACTGGAAAGTGGAACTTTTTATACCACTTTTTTCTTTTTTTTTGTAGCTGGATTAGAAATTTTTGTGAGCTGTTTGAGAAAGAGAAATGAACAAAAAAGGTGTTATTGTTGGATAACTTTTTGTTAAACGAAGAATTTTTTACAATTAATTGTGTGGCTAACGAGGTTATTTGTGGAGATAATTGAGACTGTATCGTTACATTTAAATGACATCAATTCGAGTAGTAATCCAAGAGAAAATTTAAATCGTTTTCACTTTCTAGAATATTTAAGACGAAATGTTAATAGTGAAATTACTTTCTAGGATCTAATTATTAATATATATTATAAAAATTAATTAAAAAGAAATATGTGACATTCCCGTGGTAATAAAACAAACCGAAAAGTACCGTTCATCGTTTACCAATGAAGGAAAAGGTGTCTGTTTCTCTGTGTATAAACTCTTGGTGCCTTTACCACGCACGTACAAACCAGAGGTATACCATAAAAACTGCCGTTACAAAATCCGGTTGACTATAGCAAACTTCTACAGTACTATAGCTATTCGTCTCTTTACTGTACAAGTTAATTTGGCCTCATAAGTAACGTTAAAATTTTTATATAAATTAAAACTATTAAAGTACTTGAACTCAATTACTTTAATCCTGCGAAGTGGTTTAAAATTTTAAGTGTACTTTAAGTATTAATAAAGAAAAAAATAAAGCATGATAAGCAATTTTATTAACGAAAAGATTTCATTTAAACCAATCTCCAAGTAAACCGAATCAATTAATCAATTAAAGATATGATTCATACTTACAACTTAGAAGTTGTTAATTTAAACATATTAATCCTACTCATTTTACTTGGATATCAAGATTAATAACTTTCCTAGTTACTTAAACCCACATGAAACTTTTAATTTTTTACCTTACCGAATAAAGAATTCATCAATTACTACACTAAAACGATATTTATGAACATTGTACGTAGATGGTTACGGTAATTTGTGAATAGTTGAATATAAACGGGCAGTAATGAAAATGGATTGTAATTACTCCCAACTAAAAAGTCCTGTTAGATATATGGTTATAACTTGGTTTAAATTAATAAATTGCTAATATAAATTTTCAGATACATAATTTATATAAATACTAATAAATAAACGCTAAACGCTTTTTTGATTTATATGTTTAATTAGAAAGTAGCCAAAAGACATAAATGTAAATGAAGCACAGATAAGTATTTTAACGATGAAAGGGATATCCTCGATTTAATTATTGCTAGAAAACGGAAACGGTTAATAGTCATTTGCAGTCATTTAGATAAAATGGTGTGAAAATATTAGTTTTAAATAAGATAAATTTTATAGCAATCCAAATAATTTTTAAGTTACAAGAAGTATAAATTTTTAAATGTACCAAGTTTGCAAATTTAATGATGATATAGACCACAAGGTCAACAATTAAACACTTCTACACGTTGAAAGTTGCTGAAATTACTGGTTGTCTATTTATAAATAAAAGCTATAAAAACTGGATTCAATATTGTCGTTCTAGAAATATGACGTCTTTGAGTATATAATGATGATGCAAATTAATATATCTTAATACATGTTGCTTGTCTTTAGTTTACACTGCGGTGTTAATTACTTCTATTATTGGGATTAAAATTAGATGGTTATTATCTGTGGTTTATACATATAATATTCCTGATTAGACGATGAATATACAAGGTTATAGCTTGCCCTTGGTCATTACGGAAGACTTTAATTTGCCTAATCTTCTTTACAACAATATTTGTAATGTAACTTGCTTATAATTACTATCATAGTCACAACATTGAATTTAAAACTTTATCTAGCTTCTTCTGGATTGTTCTCTGCACGTATCTGCACGGTTGAGGTCTCCTAATTAAATTTTGACTTACTACTTTTATTCGAAATGCATCTCAACAATATGTCATTAACGAATAGAAATGCTGTAAAATTATTCATAATCTAAAAATATCTGAATCGGTCATCATCAGCAATCCACGCATTTAGATCTCAGCCTAACATTATCAACAATCAGTGAATATTGGTCAGTATAGACCAAGTAGCATTATTTGATGAAAAATATTTAAAACCAAAGAATCTTCTAGAATCTAGACAACTATGTGCCTCACAGATGTTTAAGAATGCAAGATTTGAAACAGAATCCAACATTCCTCTTTGTAATACAAAAATAAAACACACTAATCAGTAAAGTTTTCATCTACTCAATCAGATTTCACTCCAAGGATGTTTTATATTGTGATTGGTGAGTTGAGCGTGACTTATTTTTGAGTCACAATTATTGTTCATGTAAATTATTAAACATAAAGTACATTTTTTAAAAGTCGTTTAAATTGATAACAAACCGAAGAATTTATGTATTTGATAAAAAAAAGGTATTTTAATAATAAATTATCAATGACTCATTCTGCACAATTATTCAAACACGATAAGGTGTACTTGTTATAAACTGTCCTTTAACTTACGTTTGAAACACGCAAGTTAAACGTTTTACCAACAATTTTTATTATACTGCAAGGTCGCCACAAAAATAGCTATTTTCTAATAAGAAATTACAAAACAAAAAGTGCTTAGTAAATTTTTCTTATCAGATGTAAACAATTTCTTGTGTATACATTTTAATATTTACTTTAGCATTTATCGCAACGATGGCGATGGCAATGAGATAAAAATTAATGAATAATTAAACAATCAACTGGTAGGATTATTTAATATTCTTTTTTCCCCTTAATTGTTACTCTTTACTTAGGTGTGTTAATAAAAATTCATTAAAACCGGCGTGTTTACATTAGTTAAGGCACCTGTTCAACCGTTTCAAAGGCTAAAGACCTCTTTCCTTTACGATTCTCCCATACAACGGATTATCTTAAAAAGATTCTTTTAAAAGCACATAAAACCTTTTCCAAAAATAAAATAATCACATCCTCATCATAATACACTTTTATTTGCTTTTAACGGGTCACAACTTTTCACAGTTATTTTCGAATCGGACAGTTTGTGTCTACGTGTAACTACACACCACGGAGAGAGAATTTCGTTCGAAATCCTCCTCCTCAGACTCGATGAGAACTTTAATCTCGTCCGGTGTCTCTAACAATTTATGATATCAACGATATGAAGAAAAATCTAATTTAGCTTACCTCTTCGATAATTTATAATATCCTCCGCATAATATTATGTTCAATGGTTGGGGTTTTTGCGAAAATATCCGTTTTCTGTGTGAACTCGTGACACTATTTAACACATCACTATTTCTTCGGAGGTGCGACACGTTTCGACCGAGAAACTGCACTGTTAAAATTCGTAGTATCACCTGGAGAAATATCACGACCCTAACGGACAGGTAAAGAACTATATACTTTTTATTTAAAAATGACAGATTGATTGGTTAAGTTGAGATTTACGTCCATAGATGGTGCTATAAAGTTAAATTTATTTTTTAAATATATATATATTTAAAATTTAAGTTATATAACTATTAAAAATTAGTATAAATTGCATCATTATGAAAATGAATGGTATTAATGAATATATGCATTGACGTCCGCGAACGTGTTAAATTTAATTAATACGTCAATTTGGGTTGCCTATGTGATATCAAATAAAATCGTTTCTTTCTTCTCTATTTGTTTGAACTAAAATTATTAATAAATTAAAAATTATTTTTATTAAAAATTAATTCATAATTATTATTATATAAAAAGAACATTAATTTGTTTAATAATTTAAAATTTTTAAGATTATATTGTAGTGCTTATAATTTACTAGAGATGTCGCTACACTTGAATAATAAATCTACTCAACAAAATGTAGCTGCTCTGTTGGTATTGAAACATTCTAGAATAAAAGAGTGGTGTCGACACATCGCTGCTGTACCAACAGTAGCGCCCTAACCACGAAACTAGAAGGGTTGTGGGTTGATTTACGACCAAAGAAATAACTACTCGATATCCGTACCAAATCGGGCCCATAAAATAATGAAAATTTGGACCAGTGAACATACATTCAAGTAAGTTGACAATTCGTTTTTAGGTTACTTAGTTTGAGGTTAATTTTTCCGTTTCGTTTCAGTCACCCATGGGAAACGGTTGCAACGGCCGCTTGGAGGAAATACCCTAATCCCCACAACCCGGCTGTAATCGGAACGGACGTCGTCGAAAGAAGAGTGGTCGACGGCGTTTTACACACTCACAGACTCGTCAGTTCGAAGTGGTATTTCCCTAAGTGGGCTCAAGCAGTAAGTGACATAACCTCAACCTTCGGTTTTTGGCCGTAGATAATACGTCATTCGCGGACAATGCACGTGGGGTATTGCGTAATTTTTTGTAAAACGGTGTGGTGGTGCCAAAAAATCCTCTACCTACGATACAGTGACGTAGAGATTTTATTATTAGACAACTCAAAAAAATTAATAATTGATTTCACAATTAGGTTAAAAAGTACCGTTTTAAGTGTCAAATAAAAATGACATTTGTTTCCATGACTACCGCATATTGCGCCTAACAAACATAGGTCCAGGTCATTGCTTATCTCATTTCGTAATAATTTTTTATGATATTTTATGTAGTAGGTAACATTTATCAATTAAAAATTGTAGACTAAAAAATGTTATTGTAGACTCAATTGTAACAATAGTCTTTGTTTAATGATTTTTAAGGTGACAAATGGTGTAATATGTTTTATTTATAAATTAGAGAAAGTTTAAAGTTCTTTTTTGTGGTTGGATTGGAATGTTGACTTTCTTTAATCAAAAAATCCACACAAAAAACTGTTTCACATAACTCAATTTATTATATAATTTTTTTATATTCAATGTAATTCCATGGGAAGTAATATCAGAGGTGTAATAATCTACTCATGCTAATCCCAAATAATATCAATTTATTTATTTGAAATGATAGCAAAATTGTTTTGTATGATCTGCTTTGAATGAAAAACAAAACTGATTTAAACTGTGAAACAAAGCCTTTTAATTCAATTGATAATACCATTTTTTATACAACTATTTTTAACCCAACTATTTATGCCACTCTGTATATAAATAGAGATAAATTTATATTATTACTACCTACATTACATATTGATTTTCAAGGTTAAACAAGTTTTGAAGCAATCTTCAAGCTTTTAGTATTCTCCTAGAAAATAAAGCGTTTGTGTTCCAGTAACAAAAATAGGAATTGAATACTCAGGATACTTTAGAGCAGGAACAGGTGTAAGCCATTGGAGATAGCAATGGAGATATGCCATAATTATGATTTCAAACGCCCATGAAGAATTGATGTCAACTTGCAACATCACGAATCACAAAAAGTATTGATGCACCATTTTACTTTCACAAAGTATCATTCTCCATTTAATTATATTATGGCAATACGAATTACACTAATAAACAAGTTATTGCCAGCTGAGAATGATTGATGGAAAAGTTGATGATACATCAGACAATTGAGAATATTGTTTATGCCCCTGTCAATTCCCATGAATACATACATGGTTCAAATATAATATGGTTAATTGATAAGAACATTGTTATGTTACTAATACAGAACAAAGAAAATTGTTATAAAGGAAACAAATAGGAGATATGGAGTGTTGCACCATTGCAAATTTAATTTGTTCGGCTTTGATGCGAATTAGATTGGATCAAATACGACATATAAAACGCGATATCAATCGTTCGAAGCGTCATTGCTTATATTTTATAATTTTCTGTAAAAATTTTGATTATTAATCTTTTGTTGGTTAAGTTTCACCTTACTTTTGCTGTTTTTTAAGAGACCATGACATAAATTTACAATTACCTTTAGTTACTTTCTTTTTTATTGAGAATACTTAAACCTTCCTCGAAATAAATGAACAGCGTAAAACTTGACGTAATAAATAACTGTAATTTAGTCTATCTACGAAACTTAAACGTCATTAGACTAATTGTATGCGATAACGTAGAGCGTAGCGTCTGACCGTGTCGTTGAAGTTCATGGAAATTTTATAAGTTTGTAACACAATTTGTAAGCATGTAAGATTGTTCAGATAAAAACTAAAGTACGTTTCTAATTTATACCAAACTTAATCAATTGTTGCTATATTTGCATTTTCGTAAATAATAAAAAATGATTATATCAAATTATTGATGTTAATGGGATTTTTTAAGTCCAAGGTTTAACGAGATTGATTTAGAGAGATAGATTCATTCACCCGTGAAAAAATTGCCGGCCAATTTTAATTTAAATGACCTCTCAAGTGGAATGAACCAGACGCTATTGGCATGTTCATTAATTTAAATTTATTTTCAAACAAAGAAATTAAATCGATTTTACAACTCTCATTTTCTTTTATAGAGTTACTCATCCGCTATTTCATCACAATACATGTTCAAATAAAGAATAAATATAAAATTTGCCCTCAACGTGATATTTTAAACCACGCGCGTGAGCTTGTACACTTATAAAGCGTTATAAAACGACTTGTGTTTTGGCAACCATCCAATCCAAAGGTATGCCTTCGCACGGTTTTTGCTTTTATTTTATATTAGTATTTAGGGATGGTGTAACGTACTGGCGGTGACATAGATTCGACCTGTAACCCACAACGTGTTTCTAGTTTCCATTTAAATATTAAAAGGGAATTGAATTTCGATGTTGTCAGTGAGACACGGCGTATTGAATATTTTATATTGGAAAATGAAGTGGACGCACGAGTCGGTTTTCTTATAATTTATTTAAAACGACGTTTTACTGTCGTAAAAGAATCCAAAGAATACGAAATTGATTGGATTTTAAATGATTATTGATTCTTTAGAATTCAATTTAATTATTTTTTTAGTTTACTTATCTTATCTTTTGATAAATTGGATTTAGTGCATACCTAATTTAATCTAGAGTTATTTATAATAATAACTTTTATGCTAACTGATATTAATTATAACTTTTTTTTTTATAGTTAATTGGTTCAGCAAAGGTCTGTTATGCGAGTGAAGAATCACAAGTGGACCCAATTGGTCGTCAAATGATATTAAAAACAATTAATCTAACATTTTGTCGACATATAGCAGTAAATGAAACGATAAAATATGTCCCACATCCAACTGATGACGCGAAAACGCTTCTAAAACAAGAGGCCGTTGTAACTGTAAAAGGTGTTCCTTTAAACAATTATATGGAAGATATTTTAGCGAATACAATCTCTTTGAATGCCGGTAAAGGTAGACAAGCGATGGAATGGGTGATTAGTAAATTAAACGCCGAAGTGACTGATTTTGCTAATTCTGCGGTAAAACAAACCGACGAATTGCTACATCAAACTAAAAAATCTTTGGACGATATTTCGCACAAAGCAATGAAAAGTTTCGATCAGATACCGAATTTGAGCGGGCCAAAGTGTCAAGAATTTTAGCAACTAACGGTCCTAGTGAAATTTTTTGTTTTGCCTCTACGTTACCCAGACAAGTATTAGCATTTAAGTTTCACCACGAGAATGAAGTTTTCTGTTGAGTTTCCGTACGTTTTGTGTAATATGCTGTGCCGTACATTAATTTTTTTATTTGTTCGTTTTGTGATCTGTTTGTTTAATTTTTCGTGATGATGAACAAAGTTGAAAAAGATCAGAGGCAAGTTCAAGTACAAGAAATAAATAATTATTTATTTATTTATGGCTGTCCGTTTATTATTATTACTTTTTTCATTTTTTAGTTAGAATTTTTTTGATCAAGTATAACAGAAAGTTTATTATGTAATTATGTGGTTTAACTTTAATTAAGTGCTGTACTGAACTGATTATAATTTTTTTGATGATTTGTTAGCAGTAGACGCAAATATTTATTTAAAATAAAATTTTTTGTGCGATTTTTTGTGGGGGGTTAATTTATTAAAAATTATTTAGTCAATTTTGATTTACTGCTAACTAATTCTCAGTTTATACACAAATGGGTCTAATTAGATGAATTTAAAACTTTTTGACTCACTGTTTATAGCTGTAGACTATTTTGTGCAACATAGAGAATCGCTATTCTTAGAGGAAAAATCATTAATTTATTGTTCAAACATTCCCCAACGGATGTTGTACATTCGGCAATTGTACATAGTTTATAAAATAAATAATAACTCGTAAATGTATTTTACTATTTATATTTACGAATTCCTTTTTCACCACATCTTTTTAAGACTAGATTCATTGCGTTATCAGTCATTATAGTTTGATTATCACCCTGCACTGATAATAATGTGGTTAAAAATTCGATCAGGAAATTATTTTTTCGTATGTTGACAAATTAACTAAATCATGGAAATTATAATAAATCAAATTGTACCAAGATATATCATTGTTATTAAATTAATAAAGATATATTTAAAAAAAAATTGTTATCTATATTTTTGTATCTATATTCCTTATTTGTTTTAATCCTTTTGTGTTTGTTCTTTTTTTAGAATTGATTTTTGGAGTCCTTGAAGATTGATAAACAAATTCCAAGACTATCCTATTTATCCTATTTGATTCATAATGTTTGTACGTGGTCATTACATGAAATTCACCACAAACCTAACTTTTTCCATGATGTTTGTGACCTGTCATAAGGTCTTGAACATTTTCAGCGGTAGATACGCTAATAAAACATACAATTATAAAGTTTCATTTAGAAAAGATGAAAGATAAGCGTGGTTAACAATCCATTCCTAAATTTGTCATCGACGCGTGGAGGATGGCAATATTAAAAAAGGTATTTTTTGTAATAAACTCCCATTATTTTACATGTTTTCTGCATTATTAAAACTAATTCAATTCCATTCTTACAGTTGCGATTAGATCTGCTCTTGTGGCAGAACACTATTTACTAATAATGTTAATGGATTCAGTGCCTTAGTTGTATCCTTCAGCATTTCCAGATTCAAAAATTACACAAATTTCTCTCTAATTCAAAGCATAAAATGCATTAAGAAACGTCTCGATTTATTTTGAACAACAATATTTTACAAAAAATACAATTTATAGATCCTGAACAAATTAAAAGAGGGAAAGATTCTAATTGGAACTTTTAAAGCGTGATTTTCCAAATCTCGACTTCTCCCTCGACTTATTTACGATAGATAATACATAAAAGAAATGGTGTATTTCCAAAGATTTCACTTCTGAAATAGTGTAATACTATGACTGTTGGAGTAGATGACGTTATTGCCCGGATTGACGAGAAATAGCAGGTATAAATGATGACAATTTCAATTCTGTTGCAGAGAACTTTAGCCATCTCAACAATTTTGAGACTTATAATTAATGTTTAATCTCAAAATAAATGGTTAAGTCCGTATAATTCCTATAAAATTCTAATAATTTTTTTTTGTTTGTTTAGGTGTAGTTTCTAGATGATTGAAAATTTGATAATAATTAAGAAGAAAACATCAAGAAAAAGTGGTGTTGGAGAAATTAACTTTTTACTTATAGAAACATATCAAAAAATTAAGAAAGGAGATTTAATTGAATTGGATAAGAATCTTATATACAGGTATTCTAATTATGCTTCAATATTTTTTTAATCACAAATTATATAAGTGACATCATAAGCTATCAATATCTGAAAATATTTTTGGCCCATTTCAATAACTGAATTGAATGGAATGAATTGAAAATGTCAAAACATTTTTAAATACCTCGTAAACGATATATATACGAATTATGCTGTTATCGATGTTGAATCATAAAAAAATTCATACGAATTGAATAGCATTACACATTTATGCAGATGACTACGAAGTTTTTTATCATTTATAGCACGATACGTCATTAAAAAAAATATTTTTAGGCATTAATAAAAAGTTCAATTATTCATATGTAATAATAAAAGTAGAACGTGTTTTTAAAAATATTTTATTGCCATAAAGTAGAAAATTTTAACGTTAAAAAAATCATTAATATAATATACAGAATGATTCAAAACAATTAAAGCGAAAAACTCAGAGATAATTAACACTCTTTCGTATTTCTAATTCAGTTTTAAATCACAAATATATTTTAAAAAATATATTTTGTATCATTAAAAAACAGCCTTTCTTTAATATTGGTAACAATTTGTAAATTACGTATGAAATACTCCTATTTATTTTTGGGTAAATTTAAGTATTAATATAACAATATAAAATAAACTAGAATTATATTCCCTATTTTTTTCTTAAACGTGACTGTACTCTTCCATTAAAGCTTGACCATAATGAGTAATCACATAATCGTGATAATAAATCATAATGCAAAGTGGTTGTCCTAAAATAAGTGATCCCCAAACGACAACGTTACCCCACCTGGGTCCAACTTTTTGTTCCATAAATCGCGAAACGAATGATAAAGGCACTTGAGACATCATTCCTAAGAAAGCCCAGATTTTGAACGTTTTTAACGGTACGCTTACTAAATATTCATGGAAAAAGGCACTAACAAAGAAGACGATAACACTCGCGACGTGTCTCCCGTATCCCATTTCAACAACCGGAATATACAAGTGACGAACCGCCCAGCGGTGAACCGGCATATTCCAAGTACGCCAAAATGTATCGATGTTATTTGCGTTCCACCAATCACAATAAAAATTTCTATCGGCAAATTGTAAAACTTCGCCGATTAAATTATAAAAGGAATGAAAAACGATGTAAAACATGCACAGCCACATTAAATGATTTGGTATCGCTAGTTTTAGTAACCTCTCAGTTGCTAAAGTTACGTCCATATTACTAAATGGAATCAACGAGTTTTTAACGGACGGTACAACGTATTGTTGGATAATAGCAAACATTATTTGTAACCCAATTATAACTTCTAGCATTCTTTTTAGAAGAAATCGTTTACGAATGCGGTCGGTGCGTGGAAAATTTAATTCATAACAAAGAGTTGGGGCGCATAAATAGTAAACGAGGTCTTTTATATTTAAATTATCCGGGTAATGGACTATGCTGTTATTTAATTCAGAGTGATCGGTGTCGTCGTAGAGATGACCATTTTTTTGATCTGCTAGAAAAAAAAATCATTTCAATTATTAATTTCTATTAAATTTTCAAGATATCCTTACTATCTCTAATGTTGCTTAAAGAATGAGTTTGTCTTTTCATATTTCCTGATTTACTTTTTTGTTTTGTTCTACACCACATGTTTACTTGAACATACGACCATAATTTCAGGAAAAGAATTGAGTACGTAAAACTTACAGTTGAAGCACCAACTAAAGAAACAGTAAAATATTAAAAAATAAATTTTCATTGCATAATTAAGCTTACTTAAGCTAAATCCATCTCTTGTATTAATGGCAACAATCGGAATTAAAACAAGTACCAATAAATTGATGACCTGCGCAATAATTCCAGCACCTTGAGGAATAATTTCCTAAAATAAAAGTCATTGAAATCGTAAAAAACAAAAAAAAAACAATGATTTTAAAATAACTTACAGCAGCTAAACCTTTTTCCAAAACAAGACAAATTAGACAAGGTATACATGTGTCTAAAAAAAGAAATGGTGCATATTAAAATAATTTAAATTAATACTTTATTTTTTTTACATAAAAGAAGTATAAGACTTGGATGATCGTCTGTAGTTCCCCCTTTGCCACTTAAAACGTAAAACCATTGTATTGGATCAACTCGAATTCCGTATTTAATAAAATTTTCTAACAAAAGTCGTAATCCACCTATTGAAAGTAGTAGAAATCCCCAATTTACAAAACCGGCGAAGTTGTTGAAACCGGAAGTCCACGAAAATAATGAATCCCGTGGTTTGTGGCATCTATAAGTTATTTTATAATTATGAAATTTTTAATTACATAATTTATTACATATAAAAATTATGGCGTTAACCACATGGCGATATTTAATTAAAAAAATTGTTGTTTTTGATAAAAATTAAATAAACGTGGATTCTCTCAAGATTAACAGACTTTTATAAAGATAACAGCTGATAATTTTCAGTTTAATATTACACTTTGCACTCGTACTTTGATATTTCAGTCAAGTTCAATAGAGTTCATTTAAACTTAAAGCATAAATTTTAAATTTATTAAATAGATTGAATGAAATCAAATATGAAAATCGAAATTATTTCGACGTAAACATGTTGAGTTATTCTTGAGTTTAATCTTGAGTTATCCATGTCAAGGACGAACAAAAATTCAAATTTAATTTGGTTTTAAATTTTATTGAAAAAAATATTAAAATTTCTTACGGTTTATCTGGTTGAGCTTTTCTCAACTTTTGTTCTTCAGTTTGAATATCTTCAGCCCTACCCACACTTTGTGCTCGCCTCATACGCAAACCATCCTGTTCTGACATTTTTCAAAACCTTTCTTTCACTCTATTAAAATCAATTTAAACCACTTAATCCTATTCAATTAAATTAAGAATACTTAATTTTAAAATAAATTATTACTTCAACTTTTATTAAACATAATATTAATAAACCGACCGATCACTTTAATCTACGGGTTGCATTTGATAAAGAAACGTTTTTTTAACGAAGAGAGGTTATAAATATCTGGACGGCTTGACTTGCTGGAAATTCGCTTTTGAAAAGGGGGGGTACATTCGTTGTGATAAGTCGTTTTTAAACCGAGTATTATTCACACTTGATGAACGTGTGGACATTGTTGCCAATAAGTTCGTGTTGCAATCAATCAAACAGCGATAGCGATATGTTACGAAACGTAAACATTAGAATTGGGTTTTAGTAATTAAATTATTTAAATGGGGATATGTGGGTTTATGTGGTATTTTGACCTTGATGAAGGTCGTAATTTACGTCATTAAGTTGTTGAATGTACAAATTGTTTCGTCCTACTTTAATGGCATTAAATTATAGTGTTTATGAAGTTGTCTTAAGAAGGTAGATTCAACAAACAAGGTATTAATAAAATAATTTCTTAATGGAGCCTGCTATCTATGGATGTATAGATATATTCGATTTTATTCAATAAATTTGTGCGAAGTAGAATACTGTAGGACTTTACCATACAGAAATGCTGAATTTTGTTAACACGTTGAGTTCTTACTTTAGCCGTTCGAGTATAGAGCGCGCGACGATTAAGAATATCATGGTGTTATAACCTCATCTTATCTTTACAATGTAGTTTTAAAGGTAGCATTAATTTATCTACATCTGTGCCTAGTAAAGTTAAATAATCTGCCCCACCAATCGTTTATTGTATATATTACCGGCAGATTATATCTATAATTACTAAGCATTTTTAGCAAGGTATAAAGTAATAATTTTTACACTGTTGCATACTTGCTATATACTGTGTTGCTATATGTTGCTATATACTTGAAAGTACTTATTACAGCAGAATAGAGATTTGTGACACTTTGAGTATCCTTTACCTTTGGGGAAGATGTTATTCACAAAATGGCTACAAAAATGGTTTGAAATCCGTCCAATGCATACCTGGAGTGCTCAATTAGCTACTTCAACATAAGCGGTTGCCATTTGGGTTTGCTAAGATAATGGACAAGAATTTACATGATCTAAGGATTTACTCAAGGCCACCCTCAACCCAACCCAACTGTCAAAACAGGGTTAGTATAGTTTTTGAATAAATTTATGAAATTTACTAGCTTGTATAGATTAGAGAAGAAGCGTGCAGAATTTTTATGGACGATGTAGTTCTTGGAAGTCTTCAAGGAAAATAAGAGATTAACATCAGAAAGAACATAATGGTACTTTATGACTCAAAGCATAATGGTACAGCAGTATGATGCTGTATATAGTCACGGTAAACAAAAAATGTTATTTTTATTGCTTCTGCATTTATATATAATCAATTATAGGAAACAGATATGATTTTTCTAGATTGCAGAGATGGGCCATCATTCTGCCAGGGACGCATTTCCAGAACTACCACTGCTTGATAAAAATAAAACCGAGTCTCGAAGAATGACTTACTGCAAAATGACAAAAAAAGACTATGCTTTTGACGAAAGTGATCGCTTATACCAGGAGAGGATGGAGAAAACATTGTAAGCAACGTAGCTAAGTTGAAGTAATATTCTATACGAAGGAAAACAGCTTTCTAGCTATTTTAATATTTTTTTTAGATATGGTGACTTAATCGGACTATTAGAAGGAATATTTATGTATGTAAGAAAAACAAAAGAAAGGAAAACATGAAACAATGGAAAAATACTCAACCGGTAAATAGTACTTAAGTAGTTTAACTTTACCTTATTGCTTTATTTTATTGATTTCTAAATTACGAATCATGTAACTTAACTTTTTTTGTACATAACAAACGTTGGACTCTGTTGGAGTAAGATGTTAAAACGTCGACTTAAATCGTTTAATGTGGTTGTACTTGGAAATTATTACCGAGTCCTTCACCGTATTCCAAACCCAAAGTACATACACTTGTTCAAGAAACAATACTGGAAAAGATATACTTTACGACGCACGAACAATTTAAACGCGGTTTTGTACCTGGCCACACACGTACCCATACGTAAGAAGTACACAAGAGTAAAATACTCAAAGCTTACTCAATCAGATCGGAATAACAACAACTACTTAAGCGTATATCGTGTATGAAATATTTTTAAAGTTGAAAGAAAAAATGCGAAATTACAGGGACAATAGAAATAAGTTTGAAATTGAACGCGGGTGTAATAAAGAAAAAGTGGAAAATAATAAAATGCTAAAATAGAAAGGTACCTGTTCGTGTTTATAAACAAAAAAGTTTAAACACAATGAAACTGGTTTTGCCAACGTAATTCAATCAGGTGTTTTTCAATTAAATACACTCGACAATTACCACCTATTGATTGATTCGCGAGCTTGGTTAAATTCGAAAAAAAAAAAATGAATGAGAAAAAAAATTGTAATGGTTCGTGGCGCACATACCGTACGTACTTCGAAGTGAGGAAATTAAAGTTTGCGTTACTTGAACGCAGGTTGATTTATTTAAGCACCGGACAATAACTGTGGCGGCGGCGGCGGCGGTTTTCTGCTTGCTGCCACGTCTGAGATTGCGAAATTAGGCGAGTAATTCATTCGGCCATTGGTCACCGGCGGACCATTGTGTTGAATTGAGGCAATTATTTCGTCGCTTTTATACTTTATAGTATACGGTTTGCTTGAAACCGCCGCCGCGTACCACCGCCACAATCGCAGCCGCCGCCGTTAGCGTGGGTTGCGTATTATTCTATGTAGTATGCGGCATAAAATCCGCGAATTTTGTAACTTTGCGTCATTGGTGTGTGTGTACTAGACTGTCTGCACTTGTAGGTATCGACAAATCACCACGTTGCATCGATAAGAATCGCTTTATTATTGTGCCGTTAGGTCGGGTGTTTCGTAATCAACCACGCTGCTGGTGCGAGACACCCGCTAAAATAGGTTAGTTATATTGAAATTCCAAAACTTTATCGATCTTATGAAATTACTTTATACGTTTCATTACCTACCCTATTGTTAAACTATTCAATCCTTTTTCATTCAGTTATTAATAAATTAAACTCGATTTGATTAAAATGGCAATAAAATACTAATAATAAATTTGAGGTGAATCATCAATCATTTGAATTGGATTCTTTCTGTTCTTCCACATCATAAAGAAAAACTTGTCAAAGCAACCATTAAAATTTAAATATATCTGTTGAAACCTAATCTACAAGAATTACAATAGACAAGACACACCCATCAAGATGTCTCTACAACGTTACCCAACCGAATGTAGGTACTTATACCACTATCTACAATAGTCAGCTTCGTTAATTAATTCCGCGATAGACCCGCGACGTATTAAATTACAGATTAAGCGGTAAAGCGTTTGCATATGTATGTATGTGGGGCTTAGTTTCACGCCGACTCGTTTGATAAATCGTTTCGGCGGATAATGGACGCTAATTCACTTATTACTCTCGTGGTTTCGCGGAACGCGCCGCGGACTTCGTATCTCTACTTACGAGAAGGGAAAATTACCCGTTCGAGGCTTTACGTAATTTATCGCTCGTGCCGTAAAATCCCATTATTAATAGAGAGATCGAAGAAAAAAAAATTCGATAAGAAATTTTTATAAAAGAAGCATTTATTAGTAGAACACGATTTCTCGTAAATATTTATTTTTTATTTTTAAGTCGTGACTTAACTAAACGTTAAAAGTAAATCTGGTTGGTTTCATTTTATAAAACATCATTTAATCCCGAATTAATACCAATATGGTACAGTATCGGTTGGTTTGTTGTTATGCAGAGTTGATGTTGGATGTTGGAGCGTTATAAAGTTGTTCTAGTATACGTACACGTAATGGCAAACGTATCGTTTTCTTTTCCATTTACGATATTAATCGGCGGTTAAGCGAAACGAACGGCGCCTGTTTCGCGGTCTTTACGCTCGCGCGGTGCGAATTCACTAACTGCGGCTGTACATAAACGTACGCATTAACTTGCTTTATTTACTGTTTATGCAAAGTTAATGAAATGGGCGAAGCGTTTGCTCGCCTCCTTCCAGGAAAGCTGTTATATTAACTTGGTGTGTTTGTGTCGGTCTTTAAATCTGACGGTTTAACGATCGCTTTAAAACACTTGTTGTTACTCAATTGATAATAATACATACATTTTATTATTATTCGACGTTTGTAGATATTTATCTATTTTAACACAATTTTTTTTAGCATCTTGTCCATTGTCGGGGGTACACAGAGAAGGTATATTTCTACTCTGCGGTGTAAGTACACGATCTGGGCATACACAGTTCTATATAGCGCTTGTTTCTGTATAGAAGGCGGAACAGGAAAAGCTATAAGCTACGTGTAAATGTACGTTCGTTTTGTCTGTATATCAATTGAGACGTGCAAGAGTATAAATCCCCACTGCCTTATTCGGCGTGGACAGAAATATACTAAAACGGAATCGTTTCATACTGTCTGAGAGCAGGTATTGCCATTCCCGACCAACTTCACTATCTATAGGCGATTTTGTCCTCACTTTTTTTTATTTAGTACGGTAGCATTCAACTTTAAAACATTCCATAGAAACAGAACAATATATCATATATAGAGTGGCTACTAAAAAATCTATTTTAAGTTTCTCTGTATCTCATAGTTAATTATAAATGGATTGATACCATTAAAAATAATCAAAAGCAACTATTTGGTAGACGAACATTTTGCGTCTATTATTTACCACTACTTTTCTACTTACTTTTTTATACATAAATTATATATTTATATTTCTTATTTATTGCTTGTAGATGTGGCTGCAGTAAAATTATTAATGTAATTATCGAAACAAGTCAGAAAGGTGAGTTCACCTGCTTGGATTATTGGCGCCATTAAAGAGCTGGTTTAGAGCTCCACAATTAATTAAAAAGAATATATGGAAAAATAGGCGCAGAACGTGAATTGCGCGATTTAATAACCTAGGCACCTCAAGTGCTTTAATTTGAGAATTATAACAAGAAAATCAGATCAATGGATAATCATGGAATGGATCATGTAATGGAAGACAGTTTAATATCTTTATTGAGCTATCAATAATCACTGTAAGAAAGATTGCTAAAAGGTACAATTTCAAAATTTGGGATATGGTAAGTTTATTTTTTATTCATTAACAATTCTAATAATTAAATTATAAGAAAGATGTCATGTATTTTCATTTTCTAGAACAATAACTAGAACAACTCTAGAACAATCTAGAACAACTCTAGAACAATCTAGAACAACAATGAAAAATTTAAAAATCAAAAAATGTGGGGCTAACTTCCCGCACTCCATGTATTGCCAGCTTCTCTTAAATCGGGTTCATCTCACCTAGACATATTTTGATTACTGAAATGTACTACAACTTTAGGCAAGTAAACATCAAATGAAATTTTGTAATAATTGAAAAATCCATATAAAATTTTCAAAAAAGTTATTTTAAGAAAAATTTAATACCAGCCTCATGTTGTTACATTATAATTTTTTGTATAAAACCGAACAAGGTAATCAGTAACCCGAGACAGGACGGTACTTTTGACATAACTACAGGATCGGTAAAGAAAAAAAGATGGATTTTTCAATGCGTGATTAATACCGTCGAAATCTCTATTATTGAGTAAATGATAGCGTACGATCTTAACCGCTGACAACGTGTTGAACCCGAACGGGCAATATTTCAACTCTTTTCGGTGCCGTCGAGGCTACGTTTCGAATATGGTGGTCGGACGCCGAAATATCACGTGTCCGTCGCGGCTGTAATTTCTCCGAGATGTATTTATTTATTTATGCGAGTGAAGTGTTTTTAATGGTACGCGCGCCCCGTGAATAATTTTGGGACGGACGACGACGACTATCATTATTGTTTTCGGTGGGTGAATAAATTTCCCACGAAAAAATGCGTCATACGATACATTGGTACTGCGGTGAAACGCCTACCGAAATTAAAAGAAAACTGTTTTATCATCTTGTGTATGTCAAAAGAGAAAGGAACTAAAATAATTAAAATAAAACTGATTTTTTTCGATAGTTTTACCGAAATAAAATTGAATTCCTAATTACTTTGGTGACTAACGCTTGATTGACAACAAGAAAGTAGAATTTATATACATCTAATATAGTCGGGCTTTAGGTAGACTAGAAAGACAGTCAGACAGACAGTAGGAGTTCCCCATTCTCACCTGTTCAGTTTCTTGGGCACGCCGTAGTGTGCCGTGGCGCCATAGGCGTGGCCTACTTGTTTCGCAGCTTTTTTAATTTAATTTGGCGCCGCGCGCGGCTCTACTGTCGCAGCAACACCGCCTCATACACACTACTTTACTTACTATACATACACAACTTTAGCATACTCTCCCAATCTCACTCTAGACATACATACACATTCATTTGTAAACGCACACAATAACGACAATAACCAAGCTGGATACTCGGAACTTTATACACGCAGACGATAGATAGTGGTAGGAGATACACGTCTCACATAGCGAGACTCCGGGTGACTCTAGCGGTGCGTATGTTAATTAAACAAAGCAGAAACAAAATAGTAGATCCGCTTAAGAATATGTAGCGCCGCGCTTTATGTCGTAACTCGGCCCATAAATTAGCATGTATTATTGTCGGCCGCCCGCGTTTTAATACACCATTAGAGACCCTTATTAGTTTGTAATCTTTCTGTTTGTATCTCGGGGTTCACTCTTATATGACATGTAATCCACGTGTCCGTGATTCTAACGGCAGTATAAGAAGTGAACCGACTACGAGGTTGGCACTGAGTTACTTTTATGGATCTAAACTGATATGGTATAAAATGAGTGTAATGGATCATAATCGCTATATCTATTGTAAATAACCTTTAATGTTGGTTCAAAATTTTATCAATATAGTATAATTAACTATTAAATGTATTAAGAAATATAAAACAGCATAAAAAATGAAACTGAAGTAATAAGGTTAAAGATATAATTTATTTGTATCTATTACCCACGATAATAACGCAAGATTTATATAATTATTAGTTACAAGTAAAGACCGCTTAAACGATGCCGTGTTACCATATCGGTTCAGTTTAATACTGGTCTCTTGTAGTGTTCTAGGTTACTGGCGTGGCAGAATGTCACAGACATAGGTAAATTCATTCATAATTCAAGCAGCACGCTTCCAGGAACTCCGGTCACTACCGTCGTCGAAGTCTGAATAAATGAATTATAAATCGCCGTATAAATGATGAATGAAGCGTAGCACAATTTGGCGACTACGCCTACGATCTATCTGCCATGTACCTATACTATATGGTCTATCTATTGCTGCCATAGTCACGGCCGTGCCCATGTCTCTGTCTGTAAAATTACGTTTGTTTTTACTTCGTCGTAAAACTCAAGGTTTTCAAGGAATCTTAGATGCTTGTCAACTTTTTTCAATTTATTTATTTTTTAATAGTTTATTTTACATTTATGGTTTTTATTACGTGTATAAATAATTATCGTGTCGTTAGTAATAATTCATCAAAATCTCCATTGAATAGCTCGCACACGCTCATAAGGTTAAACTGCCCGATTAGTCACGCGTTAGTTCACGAGAATCGAGCTTCCATCGCGTGATTGTAGGCGGTGCCATAGGCAGGTGAGAAACAAGCACTTGGCAAGGAACAATAGGAAGACACGTGTTCAGGTTTTTAGGTAATCCCCCCAAACGTCTATCTTACCTGTGTGTGCTTCAGTTTACGTCAAAAACCACGAAGATGATTAATTGACGATTGTGTTCATCTTTCTCGTGTCGGAAGGTCCGTGCTCTAATCGATTCAGTTTTTTTCAAAATCGTTTTGTTTTGCTCAATTTCTCCCTTCATTAAACTACTCGCTCGACTGGTACAGAAAACGAACTTTTTGTACGATATCTACCTTTATAACCCCTTGGATGGGGTTATGTTTTTATTGTATGCAATCGTCTCATTTTAATTAGATCACGGACCAGGTGATACGTGATGATATCGGTACGTTCGGTTAATTAATTGAAAAACTCGCGTGTCACGTCCTTCTTTGGTATACCGAGCACGTGATTCGGTACTATATACGACTACCTATCGACCAGTTATTAATTATGAAGACAAATTGGGTTTTGAGTATCTTGGTACGATCAATAACGGATCACCATCAGATTGATTTGATTTAATACCTGCTCGAGATTTATATATAAATATTTCACCTACCACTCAAAAAAAACTAGTCTATTAATCATTAAAAATCTTGCATTGACTAAATTTATTAAAATGGGTAAGTCCTCATATTTCTTATTGTATGTTGTTGAAAGGTTCAGAAGATTTTGGTTAAAAATTGTTTATTGTTGATTTATTGCTGTTTATAAAAGTTTCAGTTTTACAGGAAGAGATGTTGATAGCCCATAAAAATATACTGGTTGAAAGAGAACTGAACGTCAAGTACTCAGATTGGGGAGGAAGAAGGAAGGAAATTGAGACTAGAGAAATCAAATCAAGAAAATCAAATTTTAAAGTAAGCTAACATAATCTCAAAGGAACTTCACGACAAAATAATCCAACTCTGAACCAACCTAATTAAACATCACAGTAACTAAACCTAAGAGTACTGCAACCACAATGTGAGTCAACATTAAAGTAAGTCAAAGTAATCAACTCAACCCCAAAGAAATACAACTCGTAATGAATCCAACCTGATAATAAGTCAACTTTACCCATTGTACTTCAACCTTGACAGAGACTTAAGCCAACTCCAAACCAACTTAACCAGACGCCAAAGGAAATGAACCCAACCTTATAACAAGCCAACCGGAAAACACACCTACATAAATCTGTTCCTAAGATTTTTTGGACAAAGGAGTCTCGTCTTTAATGTCTTCAGCATAATATTCAGGTATTTTATGTTTTTCTGCAAGATTTGTCAGACAACTACCTCATCTTAATTTATAATTTATATATAAATATTTCACCTACCACTGAAAAAAATAATGATATTACTACTCAATTAATCATTAAATATCTTGCACCGACTAAATTTATTATATTGGTAATTCCTTATATTGTTGCATATTCAATGTTGTTTATAAAAGTTTTAGTTTTAAAAGAAGAGGTGCTGATAGCTGATAAAAATATACTGATTGAAACAGAACTCAACGTCAAGTACCCAGATTGGGAAGGAAGTATGAAGGAAATAAATTGAGTGCTTGGATTAGAAAATTTTTTTAATATTGCCATACAATCGAATAAAATCGACATAGGTGAGAAAAAATTCAACTTTAAAGCAAGCAAAAAAAATTTCAAAGAAACTTCACGATAAAATGATCCAATTCTGAACCAACCTAATTAAACATCACAGCAACTAAACCTAAGACTGTTCCAACCACAATATCACCCAACATTAAAGCAAGTCAAAATAATCAAGTCAACCCCACACAAATGCAACTGGTAAACAACCCAACCTTACAATAAGTCATCTTAACTCATTGTAATTCAACCTTGACAGAAACTTAAGCCAACTCCAAACCCACTTAAGACCTCAAAGGTAATGAACCCAACCTTATAACAAGCCAACGAAAAACACACGTACATGAATCTGCTCCTAAGATTTTTCGGACAAAGAAGCTCTCGTCTTTAATGTCTCCAACATAATATTCAGGTATTTTATGTTTTTCTGCAAGATTTGTCAGACAACTACCTCATCTTAATTTTATTTGCATTCTAGGTATCGATCAGCTGATGATTGCTTTTGACAGTTGCAAACCATTCGAAAACCGATACACATACATTCTAAAAAAATTTATTAAATTAATTGTTAACACATACAATTTGTAATGAATACGCAACACAAAGAAACTTCCTTACCTCAAGTAAAATATCATGTAAACTTAACTATTTATACATCATATTTGGAAGTTTATATTATCTTTTAGAGTAAAAACATACACGGTGGCAAGATAAATTTTATGAGCGTAAGCGTAGTGGTCATAAAACCGAGTGACGGAAGGACAAGAGCTGTGACTGAATAAAAGATGGTTACGTTACACAAGTGGTTTTCTCGGACCATAAGCCGGTGCCCGGAGCAGTCGGTGGTCATAGACGACGATCATTAGATCCGGAGGCCGTAAGTTCGGTGACGCGAATTCGTACGCGGCCGACGCGCCGCACCGGTTGAGTTAAGCTCGCCGACTTTATTACTACCAGATAAATAAGGCTTCTTTATTATCGTGCTCTTGGGCGGTACAAGACCGGACCCGTGCGCCACTGTCCGTACGACGATAGGGCTTCACTAAATCTCGATAATAAATGCGTAATACCGGTTGAAAATAGGCGAACGCACGAGCCACACACGTACAAAAAGAACAACGATACCACAAACACCGACGACGACCACCTCTTATTTATTTACGTGTTATTTTCCGATGGGGATAGTTTTAAAAAGCAAATGGAGTACTGAGTCGATTTAAATTTTATAACTTTTATTGGACTAATTGAATTTTTATGATCTTGTGATTTATTTTTCCTTTTTCTTTTCAGATATTTATTAGGTTTACTGTTTTTCAATCTGTGAGGTATGTTTCGTGAAGAGACGCGCATACCTCCCATGAATTCTATCGTGCGTATCCCCCATTAAGAGATCAAAGAATAAATTAATTGTTTCAGTCTTGGACTGTTGGTGCATACACGTTTCGAAGTTTAATTGTTATTCTCAGGGGACTATTTGAACTTTACTTACCTATTAAGCGTTTAATAAGTTTTCCATCAATTTATCATAAGTTCGAAGAATTCAATTGGAATACCGTCCCACGTACAAATCGAGCGTGTGACAAAGGCACCCTATCTACGTGTTGATATAGGCCGCGTTTCGATTATCCGCCGCGAAAATGAAGTAATAAATTGAACCGATTCTGCACGCAGAAACCGGAATGACGAATGCCCTGATTGAATTACATTGTAACCTAACGATAAGGTTTATTGATTTGCAATGGACGTTGGCAAATCGCCTAACACCGTTCAACGCGATCTATTGTTGAAACGAGACGAAAAATCCCTACAAAGATATATAGAATTTTCAATATACATAGGTAAGTATGTGTCCTGATTTCTAACTAGAATTGATATTTCTTGATTACGTTAACTTGAGAAATTATTTTGTTTTTTTTGCAAAATGTAATAATAACGATTATTATTTGTTACCTTGTTAGTTTATTGAATTGTTTCTTGCACCTGTTTTCACACGGTAACAAGAAGTTACCGTTTATGCGAATAGATCCGTGTCTTTCGCAATTTATGCATATATTAAACAACAATTCCTCTCTCTCTGTTTATATTGTTTGTCGTTCAATTCATTCATAACTACACAACGAGATTTATATTTATATTCAATAATTCATACATACGTTATCATTAACATTCTCCAGGCGTAACTGATATTAATCTTAATCAAAAAATTAATCGTTCTTAAATAGATTTTCTATTTTAAAATAGATTTAGCGCGTGTTGGGGATGCTGCGAAGTGATTATTAGGTTGGCACCTTTTTAATGAAATTGGCCAAAGATTTTATCGAAAAACAATGGGTGAAGATTTACACCTGTCCAGAAACGGTTAGTAGCTGTTGAAAATTGCGATCTTATCGTTTCCTCAGTTTATCTGATCGGAACAGGTTATTAGCGAACGGTTTTAGGGTGCAAAAGAAACCGATCTCTGGTCAAAATGATTTTAAGATTACGGTTTGAAAAATGGTAGCGAAAATTATGGCAATTTCGTTAAAATTAATAAAAATGGAAATTAAGTTGAAAATTAATCAGATTCGGATTTAGCAGTGCGTCTCTTAAGATTGCTAAATCCGAAACTTTCTAGTTCTAGATTTAGTGTTAGTTCTAGTTTTAACTGTGGTTCAGTGCTAGGTTATTGTATATTTTTATTGAACTAACACTGGAACTAGAAATGTTCAGGTTTAGCCATCTTAAGAGACAACCCGAATATTTGTACTTTTAGGTTTAGTGTTAGTTCTAGTTTTAGTTGTAATTCCGGTTTAGTCGTGTATCTTCAGAGTCTTTAAACTTAACAAATTCGTATGTTGGATTTTTGAATAATTTTAAATATTAATTGATGGACATTCTTTTAAAAAAAGAGAATAAATTCCAAGTGTAGATGACCAATCTGATTTACGTTTCCTTCTGGTTCATCTCGGAACGATGGAAATCGTTGTAGATATTTAACGCGGCGATTGTGCAATTAAATTTGCACTCATTGCGCTCTGCCCCGGTTTATCTTCGCGGAAGATCTTTGCTAGCGGCGCTTAGCATAAGCCGAAGCGACCTAGCGAGATCTCTAACGCTAAAGCTAACCTAAGAACGAAAAAGAAATTCCCTATACCGGAGCTTATTTAGCACCATCGGAGTCTAATGCATGCCCGGGATCGCGATAGGCGAGAATCAAATCATGTTCGAGCCAAATTTATTCCGACGAGGAACTGTGTTCGCTTCGACTTTTGTAATGAGCATATCTAGATCTTACGACGACCGACGTCGAACTCTTACGTAATTATCAATTCATGACGATTTCCGCGTTTCTGAAATGGATTATTTACCGGGAGTTGAAATTACTACGGTTTTTGCTGCTGTTGGTGTCTACGAAATTACATCACCAACAAAGAATGTGGGGTAATTATATTGATTTTTTCTGTTGATCGATGAACGTTAAAGGTCTTGGCGGTTTATCTAAGGAATGTCAGCTATTATTCTATGTGAATTGATGCAAACTTTCGTATCAGAATGCGTACGGGTGTTGATTACAAAAAAAAATAAAAGGAATTTCTTTGTCCAGTTAAGAAATCATCTTGTAACCCAGATTTTTTAAATACTACATAAACTCAAAATTACATATAATCATCGAATCGTTTACTCGTTTACACTTGGCGTAACCTTGCTCGAGTAAAAAAGCCATTCCGTCCATTAATTAAATATGAGCCGACGCATCATAACTCCGTCTGGATTTCACACCTGCCCCAACAGAACGGAATATATGCATCGAGTTCTTGCCGTCCGTATCATCGGGCAATTAAAGAAAGCATAGTCATTCCGAGTCATCACAATCATCGCGCAGCGAACATGAGCACCGGGCCTCCCGGGATTTTACTTCTTCAAGAAGACGCCCATCACGCACAGGTATGGTATAAGGGTTAAGGTGGATGATGTGAACGCCGACGACGTGTGCCGATCCATTGTGGTCAAAACAATGATATTAACGAGCGCGAACAATGGACATGGTATTCGTCTAAATATTGACGACGAGTATGATGAGGGTTTTCTTCTCCAAAATTTACATAATTTCAGAAATTATTATTGGTATGACAATTGTGAGCAGGTGGAATATATTTCATGGTTAAATTAGAAATAGTCACTTAAATAATTGAAAATGATATTGAAAAATTCATAAATGTGCTTTATTTATTAATCAAAAATTTTCAAATACTATTATTAACAAAATTAATAACAACTAATTTTATGTTGAATTTAATTTTAATTTATTTAAGGGTAAGAAGTGAGAGGATTCGCGAGATATCCGAGGTACCAGGATGTTGTTAGATGGACAAGATTGAAGAGAAGATACTGGAGGCATCATGTTGAAAGGAGGACTACCGCATAAACGCTGGCATGAGAGTTGTACGTGGTCATCATAAGATAACAACCCATAGGAACGGAAGTGGGAAGAGGAGAAATGGAAAAAATAGGGCTGGTCCCTAAAATAAGAAGAAGAAGAGAATTTCATATCTCAGTTGAGATGTAAGAATTTCTTTAAGATAGTTATTACTCATTTCTGGGGAGTTTTGCCACGCTGAGTCTTTGGTGGGACTGCCAGAGTTAATCTTTCTTATAACGTTACTTGGAGGCTCCCAATCACTTTTTTTGCTGGCAAGACGGGGATTGCTCGATTTTAAGAAGACGTGTTCATTTAAAATTAATGCAAGCGGTAAGTGATCTGTAATAATGTGTGTTTTTACCGTTTATATTCAAAAAAATATGTATTGCATTATTCTGCGTATATCCCGGATAATATTTCCTAACAATACCATTTTATTTTACCGGATAACAAAAAAAAAAAAAATAGCACAACCGTTTAAAATTTCACAATCGTTTAAGATATAGCACCCAACCTCCAGTCTTTTTCAACTTAATCTGCACTAGTATTTTTTTTGATGACTAAATCACACCTACTAATTGTAAGTCGAAGCGGACTTAGAATTCTATCTAACCGGCTTAGCGCAATACGAATTATGCATAAGCTATTACAAAATTTATTCAGTTTGCAAATAAAAAGCGAGAGCAAAGTGTAAAATGTAGCGTCAATAAGAACCGCAAAGAAAAAGGTAGGAGACGGAAACGGGATGTTAAATAATAGCGTCTAATAAAAACGATAATAATGATAATTGTGTGATTTATGCATAAGTTGAGTCAATACGTAATATTAGAAATGAGGGTGTACTTTTATGTTTCCTGTCGCGCCCATGTGGGAAACTAAAAACCTCGCGGTTACTTAGTTTATGGCATCACAAACTAATTATCGTCGGCAAGTTTATTATTTATAACCATTTGTCAACTAATCGCTAATTATACGCACTTTACTTAAGCCGTAAATAGATAATATCGATTGATTGTGCAGAATATTACTGGTATAAGTAATTATCGGAACGCGTTTTGTTGATGTAGAAGGCCACATGTATTAGAACGGTAATTCACTCAATGTACTACATATATACTACCTTTAATCGTTGTTTTTTTCAATTTCTCCTGTTCGTAAAGTTAATACGCGTGGCGACTTGACAAGTTACTACCATTGTAGAAATAAAATAGTATGATTGAGTGTCGCGAAGAAAAATGACGTTGTTGCGAGCGCAAAATGGGTTTCTCAAGTTTTAATTCAAACCGACAGAATTTATTGCTGAAAGATCGATACGATCTCGTTGATCGGCCGCGCTGATATTCCACTTAATTCAGTATATAACTGGAATGTACGTCTTAATTATCTAATGCCTGGCCATTTTGCTTTTTAATTAAGGACCTTTCGAAGCCTAATTAAATCTGAATTTAAATTACCCTCTCATGACCGGTATAAAACCAGCAACGGTTAATGAGCGTCTGGACGAGTTTCGCAAATTATTTATCGATGAAATTTATAACGTAATTATTATTGTAAAAAAATTAAATCGGTTTTAACTAAATGAAAATTAAATTTAATGAAAATTCATAGAAAAACTCAGAGAATACCCCGAGTAGGTAGTTCTAGATTTAATTGTTATTTAGCCGGTTTAGTCGTGCGTCTGAAGATGCACGGCCAAACCCGAAACTTTCTAGTTCTAGGTCTAGTGTTAGTTCTAGTTTTAATTGTTATGCAGCACTAGGTCAAGAACTAGAATCATTCGGGTTTACCCGTTTTAAGAGACGTGCGGCTAAACCCAAATGATTCTAGTTCTAGGTATAGTGTTAATTCTACATAGTAACAGTGCTAGTGTAAAACTAGAACTAACACTAGATCTAGAACTAGAAAGTTTCGGGTCTAGTGTTAGTTCTAGTTTTAATTGTAATTTAGCGCTGACATCACGAACGGGTCTTTGAGCTGTGCACTTGTTCCCGGGATATAGTAGTCCTCTTAGTCAGATTCTATCGTCCTTGGTATAAATATAAAGCGAAGTAGATTGAAAGCGAGGGTGAGGATAGCTCCCGGACGTATTTAAGAACAACTTTTAACACTCCAGCAGTCGCGCCTCCGGTTACTACAAAAGTGGGCGCATGTCATCTCTTAGATGACTTTTCAATGCATGCAAAATATATATATCTATATATATTATATATATATATATTATATATTATATAGATATAATATATATATATATCTATTATTTATATATAAATACTTTGCATTCGTTTCTGGATCTTACTATTACGACTCGTCCGAGCAGCATACTTATGCATGGTCAGCTCCCTGCTCCTCAATTTTCCAATCACGATCTAATTTACTGTGCAGTGCAGATACGACAACATATTTTCTCGCAACGCATTATTTCCGTTCGCGATCTGGGTCGTATTGATAACGATTTGCTGTTGTCTGATGCGCAGAGGATCGATTGGCTCCCGCTTTATCGAATGGCCGATATTGATGGCAAGGTTGACTACTTCAATTCTAAACTTATCAATCTCTATGACAAGCATGCCCCACTCAGACGACGCAGGGTGAGACATCCGCCCGCACCCTGGTTAAGTGATGAGATAAGATCACTGATGAGGGAGCGTAATCGTGCAAAGCTATTACTTAAACGTATTCCAAATACTATTAATCGTGAAAACTATAGGATCTTGCGTGACCGTTGCAATCACCAATGTAGAAATGCCAAAAAAATGTATTTCTACCGGAGATTATCCAATGCTAATCCGAGGACGTTTTGGAAGTTGATGCATTCCTTAGGGGCGGTTGAGTCTCCCTCTGTTCGGGCTGCTTGTGATGTGGATTCATTGGCGAGGTTTTTTGCTGACCCTCCTCTGCTCATTAGTGGTGGGACTAGGATGACAACTATTTCTGAAATTCTTGCCTCATCTATATCCTCCTCTTTCTCCTTTGTCCTGGTCACTGCGTCAGAAGTCCGCGATGCCTTGAATCACTCGAGGTCTACGAGTGTGGGAGCTGATGGAGTTGGTCTCAAACTTCTTCTTCTTGTATTGGATATTGTTCTTACTCCTATTACCCACATTTTTAACTTCTCCATTGAACGATCCTCATTCCCTTTAATCTGGAAGGTTGCTCATGTTGTCCCTATACCTAAATCCAAGAGTCCCTCAAGTTTAAATGATTTTCGCCCTATCTCCATTTTATCTGTTCTATCTAAAGCTCTCGAGCGCCTTGTTTATCTACAAGTTCAAGAGTATTTACAAGAATTTAACTTGCACAACGACTTTCAATCGGGTTTTCGTAAGGGACATAGCACGACAACAGCGCTTATTAAGATTACAGATGATATTAGGTATGCTTGCGACAAACGTTGTGTTACCATCCTTGTATTACCTGATTTTAGCAAGGCGTTCGATTCGGTTGATCACGATCTTTTGTTGGCGTCACTAGCTGCCCTTGGATTTACCTCTTCATGTTTATCTTGGTTTCAATCTTACTTTTCCTGTCGTTCCTTGTGTGTGCGTGCTGATTCTGTGCTCTCGTCTGCTTGTGATATTAAATGTGGTGTACCCCAGGGTAGTGTGTTGGGTCCGTTGCTCTTTTCGATTTTCATTAATGCCGTCACCCACTGTATTTCTTGTAATTATCATGTGTATGCTGATGACCTCCAAATTTACACTACGACAACTATTGATGATTTTCCCGAAGCAATTGCACGTCTTAATCATGACTTTTCCAATATTTTGGATTGGTCTAAACGTTATCGCCTTAAATTAAATACTGCTAAAACTCAAGCAATTGCGTTTGGCAGTCGACCTTTACTGGCAAAGCTGAATGATTTTTCATCCATTCACTTAATGCTTGACGGAGACATTATTCAGCTGTCAGACACGGTTAGAAACCTTGGGGTGGTTATGGATTCTACAACGTCCTGGAAACCTCAAATTCAATCCGTCTGCACAAAGGTCTATCATTGTTTCCACTCATTGAGAAGTCTCCGTTGCTTCCTTCCTTCCATGATCCGTCGTAATCTTTGTTTTTCCCTGATTTTCCCCCATATTGATTATGCTGACACGGCATATCCTGATCTTTCGGTAACACTACGAAACAAACTGCAAAGACTTCAAAACAACTGCATATACGGTATATCTTTGATCTCGAGAGATCTCAACACTTAACCCCATACCGTAATTATTTACTAGATCTCAGTTAGATTCAGTGCTTATGTTCCCGACCCATAGTACCGAGATTTGCCATAAATCGTTTGCTGTGCAGGCAATAACCCTTTGGAATAGTCTGCCTACTGAGATCCGTAATATTCCTTACTTTGTAACATTTAAAAACCACCTAAAACTTCATTTATTGGCTCTCCAAGTATCTTCCTGAGAACTTTTTTTTCTCCCTTTTCTTCTCTTCTTCTACTTTTATTCTCTTCTCTTCTTCTTTTATTCCAGCAACTATCATTATGCACCGTTTTTGGTGACCATAAGTTTAGCATAGCAGCTTGCCGTTTCTTCATAGTTTTTCTTATATAACTTAGTATACTGCTGATTGATTGGGTTGTTTGGAAGATATCGCTTACGCGATAAATCGACCCTTTTGCCCGTATTTATGCATTAAGTTAAGTGTATACATTTTCTTTAATTTGTATTTTTTGTTTCTTATTATGGCAATAAATTTATTTATTATTATTATTATATATATATATATTTTTTCTATGATGCAATAGTATTAACAGGTTAGTCCAGGCAGACTGTTTACGTCATCTTTTAGGTCTTAGATGATATGCGACTATTGGAGTGTTAAGAATACATACCAACTTAAATATTTGAAAATTACTTTACCGTATTTTCGTTGAATTCTTAAAATTTTTTTGCATATTACAACAACGGTACGTTTCATCTTTTGTAATATTTTTTTGTATTTATTTTCTTAACTTTCTTATATACATACATTACGCTTTTGTACCAAAGGTATTTTCCGTCTCTCTTACACGGATAATAAATCGCCGTCGAGATTCCCGGCTTTCGATCTGATCGCGGATAACGTATCATCGGCATCGTCAACGAATAACTCCCCATCGTTCGTCCGTTCGGCGGCGGCCCCGGGGGCCACGCGGAAAGACGTCGAACGTAGCCGTGGGTCAGAGGTCATCCGATGGTCATTGTGCGTATACGAAAATTTTTTGGGCGGGTACGCGAAAAATAATAAACGGATTAATGCGCCGTGTATGAATTACAACAACCGTTTTTTTCCGTCGACGTCGAGCCGAAAGAACCGAGGAGATCGTTTTTATACGGTTTAATATCCCGTGCCTAATGTCCGGCGGGAGAGGAAAATTTTTCCGTAATTTTCGTACCCAAAGCCACATCGGCTTCGCTGATTTAAGAAGACGTTCGTAGAAAAGCCGCTATATTCGAAGATTTTTTTAATCATTTTTTTAGAGGTTTAAAGGTGACGGTTATGACCCGTAAATACCGTTAAATTTTTCTTAAAATAAAACATCTTTTTATAAAATTAACTAATTATAGGGTAGGAAGTGATAATAAGAAAATTTGTAAATTTCTTATTCATAAATTTTTTTCAATAAAATAGTCATAAATAATTATTTATTTAAAAAGTCATGAAAATCGTTAAGAACCGTTACGCGAATCTTTTGTTAACACGTCACTTTAGGAGGTCAGCACAAAAGACAAGAAATTACTCAAACCGACGATAAAAATTTATTGGCCACACGAAAGTGCGGTTTATCAACAACGGCGCGGAGCGTGGTTTCAGAGAAGAAAAAAGAGAAAATAAGAGGAGAAAAGGGGCAATAAAATTGTGCGGTGGGCAAGGAACGAGGAGGAGAGAAACATAGCGGTACAACAACGCCAACAACAAAGGACGACCCGGAGCCGATAACTCGAAACGAACATAAATAATTGGGCAAATTTAATAAACAAAGTAACGGTTTGATTACAAGTACGCATTAAAAGCCGTTTTCGTATGCAAGAAACGGTGTCGGGCATAATTCAAAGTCGTCTTCTTCGACTTGCTCAGTATACACCCCGCCCGTGTATAATTAAAAATTAATTTTATACCGCATTTTCAATTTTATCTTTTTTAGGCATTTTTTTGGGGATATTCATTTTTTCTTATTTATTAAACTTTTACCTTATCATTTTCTCTTATAAAAGATACAACAATACATCTCATACTATAATATTATTCTCTCTTTTTAGATACCTTTAAGGATAGACCAATCAGTCTGCTTCAAACAAGGACACTCAAGAAGCCATCAAATCCAGAGATTAGTCGACTCGATAGAGGTTGGTTTTGAAAATAAAATGTACATAACAGCGCTGTTCCTGGATATCACGCAGGCTTTTGAAGTATCTTGGAGTACACCCAGACACAAGACTGAGTTGATAGGACAATACAGGATCACAGAGCCAAAATCTGCATTCTACGGTTGCTGAATCTCCCAACCCTCTTATATCGAGCATAACAAGCATCAACGAAATATTTTGCTTCTTTAAGCATTTAGGATTAAACGCAGGTTTGTCACAAACATTTTTTTTGTATTTCGTTGATCATCTCGCAAGGACAAGACATTTAACTAAATCATGTTGATCATTTTCTCATATTTGTGAATGCATTTCTAAAGGTATGTTTAAGTAGAAATAGTTCAAGACCAAAAGAGTTTGATTAGAGTCCTAAGGCTTTAATGATAAATTAATTGTATGTAATTTGCAAAATTCAAATCACGTCTTTTCTTCGTTTCCACAAAAAAAAATCTTTTATTATATCAATTAGGTTTCGTTCCGATCCAATTACTGTATACCTTTAGGGTGGTAAGAATCGAAGAACATCACATTTCCATTTGCTTAGGACGTCACGTGCAAACCTAAAGCCACTTTCTTCGGCGACATAAACATATTCAGCGCATTACGTTACCGCCGTGCTACGTTGATTTATAACCGCTGACACCTCATCGATGTCCTAGACGCGGACAAGAAAGGCTCAGCAGCAGAGAGACAATGGGTTTAGGTGTCGCGCGATTGGCGACTGAAGTCCGACGTCTTCAATCTATCGGGTCTGGTGTGTAATGAGAACGAGTCGCATACATTAGAAATACATTAAAGTTCCGTCGGGTTGAGTCACCCAACTCTATACTTGAGCGAGAGTTGGTCGTGCCAAGGAGCAATTAGACATGCAAATATGTCAACCCACGGACAATTTGATATTTTTAAGAAATTTTCTTTTAAAAAATTTTCTTATACTTATCTATTTCATTCTTATTTTATGATACTTTATTGTAGGGTGTCATAAATTTTATTGGCACTTTATTTACGATATTATCCAATTGAAAATGTCAATAACGCATTAACTATTATGATAATTGGAGTCTTATGAAAGGAATGTTAATTTTTTTTGTTAAAGTTTTCGAAATGTTTTTGCATACAATAACAAGAAAATCTCAATTAATTTCTTCCTTTTAAGTGAAGAACAACGTTAACGCAATTATGGTCATCTCAGAGAGAAAGCTGGTAAACTAAACCGGAATTTTTTCGCCCATTTCTGTCACCGTATCGTTCGTTTTCTGTATCTATAGATAGTTCGAAAGTCAATTGGCGAGGACCGATTGTAGTAACGCCTCGCAATTACCATCGGATATAACGATTACCATTACAGGTGTAGGTTACTTCGAACCTCTATGGTTACAATGAGTCAATTGAAATTCAAATTACCATATCATTCAAAGCGGAACGTTCGAGGATATTGAAAAAATTATTTATTGTTTGCTTTCTTGGTAATAACAATACAAAAGGATCCCACTAAAAAATGTTGGGATACAATGTACGAAATTGCTTGAACCACATCCTTGTAATTATTAGGGTTTTCAAAGTTTTAAAAGTTACAAAGGGCGCCGTATTTTACACTTTAACTATCTCAAAATATAGTTAGCAACCTGGCGCCTCAAAATTATAATGATACGTTTTGTAAACTCTTCGAGAATAGATCCTGTTGAAAAGGGTAAACGTTTAATTTTTTGCAGACACCTGCTCATTATAAACCACGAAATAAGTAGCTTTAATTAAAGGTATCGAATAATTAATAAAAATTTTTTGCTTTCGTCACTTAAATGCGTCGAGAAAAAAATATTAATTTCCTCTATGTAGGTGGTATTCCGATCCGACTTAGGGGGTAGCAGCTGGTGCTAGGTCATTTAACCTTCACAAAAAAAAAAGATTGATCAAAATTTTTATTTCATCATTAATTTATAGTTTAAGAAAGAAAATAAATGCAAAAACAATGTATTTATTCATCTAATTCGAATCAATTAAGATCATGAAGATGCTTATCGAGTACGACGATGATATTAGATGATAATGACTACAGCTCGGGGGTTCCCCAGTATGGATGGTGTATCGAAAGCGCGTTGCTCGAGCTTAAAGTCTCATAGCCATACGATCAGAGCACTCGAGACACCTGGATATTTACGGCCGATGCCAATTTATTGCTCCTTACAACTTAACTTCTCTCCTCTACTTCTTCAGCCTCCGCACACGGTGGTTATTTCCAGCTACGGCGACACTTGGGAGGAGACTACCATTTTTTTCCTTCTTTACCACGCCAGATTTATCGGTCAAAAAGACATTCAATCTAGGTCAACGTAAAAAAAATTAAAATAAATTTTTTAAAATGTTTAAAGTTTTTAATGATAATCTATAAAATGGTGTTGGAGCCTTGCGGGGACAACCGTTGAAGATATGATAAAGTGAATAACCTTGTGTTGCAGTTAATGAGGGTTAATTTTGTGGTAGATCTGGGCCCTTTTCTCTCCGGAGATGCAAGAAGACCGCTCTTTCGAATGATTAATACCTTTCGCCGTGGCTTTTAAGTCTCGGTCCCTTGCCTACGCCGTAATTTACACGGTTGTTATTCAATTCTCGTTGATTTTTATCGACTCCTCGTCGTCAGTCATAACGCGATAATAACACACTTTGAATTGATTTAACAACGCTCTCGTTCAAGCCAGATGTCCCGTAGCTAAATACGCTTGATTTCTCCATTGGAATGTTTCATATTTTTACAATGTCTTCACCACTATTATTATAGATTGTGATATATTGAAAAATTTATAAAAAATTTACGTACGGCTAAATCCAAATGTTTCTAGTTCTAGATCTAATGTTAGTTCTAGTGACAGTGCAAGTGTAAAACCAGAACTAACACTATACCTAGAACTAGAATAATTCGGATTTAGCCGTCTTAAGAGATGTACGGCTAAATCCGAATGTTTCTAGTTCTAGGTATAGTGTTAGTTCTACTTTTCTACTACGTTCTAACAAGCTCCGTTATATCTATGTTTTACTATATTTTAATGATTTTTTAAAATTCGAAATTAGAAAATGAAGTTATTAGTTATCTAATCAATTTGAATTAGCGTGACGATTTTCTACTTTAAAATAACCCATCACCACGCAAAAACCATTATGTCTAATTTTAGACAGTTTTGGTTCATATAATTAATGGTTGGAACCGCTTTGAATCATGGTGGTAACCCTCATCATGCGCAAAATATTCTTGGTTTTGATGTATCAATTTAAAAGTTTCTTTAGCCAATTAGAAAGTAAAAGTCGAATCCATTGTTTTCTGAATTTTATAAAATAACTAAGATATTTCATAAAATCAATATTTATACTTATTGTTGGTAACATATCTACATAAGTATAATATTCCTTGAAGTTAATTCGAGGTTATTTCGCATTTCTATGGTTAAAACAAACTGTCTGTCCACAAAAGCGAACGTGCAACGAAATATATTTGCGCTTTGTTTAATCATTATTTATAACCCATCTGATAATGCTGCCAGTTAACGTACGACCGGCGTTAGTGTTTTAAATTGGCAACAACAGTGCAACCTAACGGCTATTTTACTCTTGGTTGCGTAGGTGGAGTGGTGCTATTTGCGTTTGCAATACTATTCGAAAGTTTAACCAATTGTTTAAACCTCGGCACTTATTTAATTTTAATTACGGCATCGGTAATTAACTGATGGAAAAAAATTTACCCGCGGTAAACCGTTGCAATTCATTAATCACCTGCAATAATTGTACGTATCGATGAATATATCGATTGGCTGCAATGCGCCGTATCATTACGCTTGTAATACTTAATGTTTAAGATAATTTGTCATAAGTTGGCACGCTCAGATAAGGATATGACAACTGCGTATTATGGTAATTGTTTATTTGATCTCATTATCTGCATCTTGTATCAATAGAGGCAACACTGTAGGGCAATGAGTATGAAATTTCAATATTTACAAAGCTCTTTTTGCAAAAAAATATATAAATGCTGCTCGATATCGAAGTAGGTGACTAAATCCATTCAAAGTCAACAAAACACTTTATAAACAAGAACATATTTACTCATCTAAAATTGTACATATTCATAATATAAGTTTACTTTAAAATCTGTATACAAAGTTACGTAAATGTAATATTAAAACTTGAGTAACATATTCTATTTACATTCAATCAAGATGAAAATTCGTATAAATCGCCACATATTTATTTTGATACTGCGCTATCCGTTGTGACATATTATGCAAGACGGGTACAGATAATCAGAAAAATTTTCCAACAAAATATTTAAATAAATATTGGTATCTTTGTGTATAAATTTCAATATACATTTTTAAAATTCGAGTCAATACTTTGTTATGCAATATCCAGTTGGTATCAAAAGTGTTGTTTTTAGTAACAAAATAAACATAAAAAAACATCTCCAATCACACAACTTTCTCAATTAGGTAACTTTGCTCCCATTTTTGACTTTTATGATCATATTCAATCAAGATTAATTCTATATTTATTTATGCCTAAAGCAGGCAACTAAATACGTTAAAATTTTCAACATATTTATATTTATGATCGTGATTTATTACAAAATAATATTTTATAAATAAAAATAGTTATTCACAGTAGGATTTTCAACAAAAATTTAATAAAGTTACATTTACCATTGAAAAATACAATAAAATTTTATCAAAACCTAACGAAATAATTGCGTGTAAAAATTCCATTTCCTATTTTGATTAGTATTTCGATGTAAATCCAACATGTTTGATTCCGAATGAATGTTACATTCAGAACCACCGTCCATGAAATGAGCCGAAAGTATTCTTCTAGTTGTCGGTGTTAGATTACGAACATTAGTTCTTCTAGAATTATACACAGATGGTACAAGAACCGCTCTACGAACTACCCCAGCATCTCTTTTAAATTGAGTTTGTCCCTTTTGTGGCACACATTGTGTTGAGCGTTCTTCAAGGAGCGTTTTGCGATAGTTTTTGTTTTCTTCCGATAACGTTTCGACTACCTAAAAAATTAAAATCACTAAATAAAATTGGAATCAATAAATAATGAATTCATTCTTACGACATCAACAAAGTTATCCAAAACATTCGTTGGAGTCATAGTTTCTATTTCAACCCTACAAATCGGACATCTATTATTTTTCTCCCCCCATTGTTCTATGCAGTTCTTACAAAACGAATGTGAACAATTTAAGGTTTGTGCTTTCACAAACAACTCCCTACAAATAGCGCATTTTAATTCTTTCGCAAATTTTTCCGTCATTATTGAGGTATTTTCGAAATCCATCTCATTACTCTTTTTATCTTCACTACTTTCATCTTTTTCGCTGCTTGTTTGGATGGTAATATTATCCATTGTACAATTAGATTTATTTTTTAAAGAAATATACAAAAAATTTTATTACGTTAACGTTATCAAAATTTTAATAAATTTGATTATTTTTAACATAAATTGACAACTGACTTAAAATTCAACGCATACTAAAAATAGAAAACTAATATAAATACAACCGTACTTGATTTATACATATATCGTATAGAACTCGGGGAAAACCCCAAGTTTATCTATGAACATGGAGGATATAATCCCAAGTCCGTTCTAACGAGGTTTTACTATACTTGTACTTTCAGTTCTTGTTTGATCAATTATTCCACTATTATTCTCAAGAGATAATCCAATTATGAAACACATTACTTTCAAATCTCCCTGTACGGACGCTGTCCAAGCTATATACCCATGTGCACGCGGAAGACTGGTTCTAAACAAACGAATCTAATTACCTACGTTCACTACCATAATTAACTCGGAACTCCCTCGATTGCGGCGTTACTAAAGATGGTCAACGCTGAGGTTACGATCTTTCCGTCTCTGTCCCACCAAAGCATCTAGTAATACCTTAGTATATGGAACCAAACAAAACTATTATAGAAAGTAAAAGCAACTGTGGCGCGTTCGGTTTATTAGGTTCTGGGTGCTGCTTAATAATGTTTGTAATCTGTTAAAAGGCCACCCACTGTACCACGGTGGTTCGCTCTCGCCTATTTGCTAATGGCGTTTTTTGTGTCGCGCTCCGCCGAGAGAGGAGTTATTCCATTTTAGATGTTTATCAGACTTCGGCTGCGTGCCAAAGTGTGTGTGTATGTGAGGCCGAATGACGCGAGGTTAGGAGAAAGTGAGAGTCGATAAACGTCGATGGGGAAGTAAGAATCGGAACCCGAAGCCGTGGCATTTAATCCGCAGGTGTTTCCAATACATGATGACATTTACTCGGTGTAAAATCACAGAATCATTTCCTGTTGTTGCTGTTGTTCTAAAGATATTATGGATTACAATAAGATGTTTGATGAATTGCCCGGTCACTGAGGATCCGAGGAAGTAATTAGTTTTCGCTTGGGTTGTCTTTAGGTGTGCCGCTAATCCTACCTTATGTTCTTAAGTAGACATATTTCAAACCCGAGATTACTTCAATTCCGGTTGAAATATTCATTTAGATAATTAAATCGTCGTAAAAATTCGCGGTTATTACGACATCTTAGGTGGATACATGTTGTTTGTCACTTGTATATGTCAGATACGAGAAGAGCATCAGCTGTGTTACTCGAGCTAATTAACGTTAAACGAAACCGTAATTCAAAGCAACTACAAGTGGAAACCGCAAACGGACGTAGGTGGAGCGTTATGTATAGCCGCAATTAGCGTTAGATTTATGTCTATGAAAATGTCCAGAGTACATCGCGTTTACCTGATACTGATTCCATAAACGGACCTTTCTACTCTACCAACTACAGCGAGCCAACTCTTCATACTCTAACTGAGACACGTTAGACTCGATTTATTGAAAATTGACTCTCCCAACCAATTACTTCACGTCTTCTTCTTCATCTTTGTCGTTTCTTTATTTTTAAATCGAATTGAAACTCGGTCACATTTCCTTATATTTTTCCTTCTTCCTCGTACCACGTAAATCACTTCGCACCGTATGATTAATTATTATCAATTGTATCGATTGTGTCAATTATAACAATTGTGTCAGCGGGCGCTAACGAGCGTCTCGGAACGGCAGCCTCACCGTCGAGTCGTTTTAAATTAAGAAGAAGAAAAATAACCGTTGCTAATTGACGACTCATTTGCAAATACCGTCCCGCGTCTATGTGTTGCGCTCCGTCTTTTATCGCATAATTAGCCGGACCGTAAATTGAAAACGTATAGTATACATAGTGCCACAGTCAGACCACAAGAACCCACAATGATGGTAATGGCGGGTGCATGCATTGCCGATTTGGTACGCCAATTTCAAAAGAAAATTACGCAACGATGCATGTGGGAAGCTGCAGGATATATTAAATATACATTAGCGCTCGGTGCTTTTAATAAAGTTTTTCCACTTGACGCAACCTGTGCTGATGAATGGTGGAAATACTTTAAATATAGATCAAAATGTACTTTATTAAATCATTATTCACTATAATAAACCTCAATTTAACTAACGTATTAAAATTTGCAATGTCTGAAGATGCAGGGCTAAACCCGAAACTGTCTAGTGTTAGTTCTAGTTTTAATTGTTATTCATTGAACTAAAATTAGAGCTAACACTAGATGTAGAATTAGAAAGTCGATGGGTTTGTTTAATTATAAAAAAAAATTAAAGAATTATTATTGTTGTAGATGCGGGATTAAATCTACCAGTGTGAAGTTATCCATAAAAAAAACTTTCTTGTTTGTGTATCGATTTTAATGATTAATAGCTCATTAGAAAGATCTCGTGGAGTAGAGGCTAACATAGTTTTGGCGGCGCAGATTTTGGGCGGGAACACCTTAAATTCTGCGAAAACAGTGAAATATATAAAAAAAATCTCTAACTTTAGAGTCCCAAAAATTGAAAACTAATTAACATAACATCAGGTATGATTACCAAATCAGAATACGTATACTGTCTTCTACACAAAAGTGAATTTTGGTCGTCGCTAAATCATATGGGTAATTAGAAAAGTGCCAGGCGGTTCTTTGAAAAGCAAAATCATATCCATAAGTATAACTTTTTTGTTTATGGTCCGATTTAAGTTTGTGGAATACCTTTTTGGAAAGGGTTCGTCCTGTAGATCATGTCATAGTAATGGCGGCGTGAAATTCTAACAATAACGGTACTTAAACGGTTAAAAAAGGTTATAAACAATCATACCCATAAATATAACTTTTTTGCTAATCGTCCGATTTTAATGTGTGATACCTTTTTGGAAAAGGCTCGTCCTGTAGATCATGTCATAGTAATGGCGGCGCGGAATTCTAACAATAACGTTAATTAAACGATTAAAAAGGTTATAAACAATCATATCCATAAATATAACGTTTTTGTTAATTGTCTGTAACTAACTAATAACTAATAAATATAACTTAATACGAGATGTGTAATAAACGAAATGTCAAACAAAGTGCCAGAAGAGAGTTGAGCGAAACGCGATCCATTAACATACAATTCACAGTATGAAAATAGGACCTTTAACACCAGCCAGGAACATTTAAAACAAATTTCCAAGACTAGATTATCCTTTACAAGCAGATTGATACAATTGTGGAGTTCTTGTCTGTCATTTGATTGACTGTATATTATCAAATAAACCATTTAAATCATTAAATGCAGATTCATACAGAAACATAATTATTGAAACTTTATTAAAAAAACTCCGACTCATTAAAGGAAAAATGTCTCGGAGACATGAGGTTCATAATGAATTCAAATACAAGCAATGCTCGTAGATGGCCCATGATACCTGCAAAAATAGTTTGGACGAGCGGTTTGAATTTTGTAGACAGCGATCTTAAACTGTAATGGGGCCGTTACACATTCTTTTTTCTATTGGCTTATTCGATAGTTTAGCGAAATTGAAGACTTCTATTAATTTTGTATTTTTCAAACAGGGCCTTAGTTAAAAAAAAAAAAAAAATAATGAAAATTTGAAAAAACTTTGGATACGTCACCGTCGTTTCGCACGCGGTTGGTTGAAATAAAAATCAATAAAAGGTGCATGAGCGAGATGCCACGAGAATCTTATGCGCTAGAAAAAGAGATCCGAACGATTCACGTTTTGTCTGATCTTCTTGATCTTACGTGAAAACCTCGTAAACGTCACCAAAGCTGTTATACAGGGAATTTTGAATTTTAATATTAATTATTGCAAAAATTAAACATTTTTAGAATCTGAAAATGTTACCAATCCTTCTATTTTTACATACTTTATTGATTTTTTGAAAGACTGTCTTTCTATTTGATTGAGGGTAACGGCCCTATACGGTACAATAAAAATGTGCCATCAATTTTTATATACAATTTAATGTAGCAACTAAATGTAAGTACAATTAAATTAGATTTTAGTAGTTGACTACTTATACAATTTTGTTTAATTGATCTCATTTTGTAAATAATTGTTTTAGATACTATGACATGATCTACAGGACGAACCTTTTCCAAAAAGGTATTACAAACTTAAATCGGACCATTAACAAAAAAGTTATACTTATGGATATGATTTTGCTTTTCAAAGAACCGCCTAGCGCCACGTACGTCTGGAAACAGGTTCGTGCTTTGTTGCACTTTTCTAATTACCGATATGATTTAGCGACGACCAAAATTCACTTTTGTGTAGAAGACAGTATACACATTCTGATTTGATAATCATACCTGATATTATGTTAATTATTTTTCAATTTTTGGGACTCTAAAGTTAGAGATTTTTTTTATATATTTCACTGTTTTCGCGGAATTTAAGGTGTTCCCGCCCAAAACCTGCGCCGCCAATACTATGTTAGGCTCTACTCTACGAGATCTTCCTAATGAGCTATTAATCATTAAAATCGATACACAAACAAAAAAGTTTTTTTTATGGATGGAATTTATGGGTAACTTCACACGGGTATTAAATCTTTACATCTCCTATTTCTAAATTAAGTGATTTATTTTATAAATCGAATTTATTGCTTAAACTAAGTACAGTATGCCTCTCACCGTTCGAATAACTTTAAGCGGTTTGAAATAAAAAAAAAGGGATTTCTTTGCGATTGCGTAAAACATCGCGATTACAGCTCGAAGGATAAATCAAAAGCGAGATCTTTATCAGTCCAGGTAGAGTACCCACACTTCGCCGACTGTGTACACAACACGTTCACCTATTACTGCATGCTCCGATTCCCGGCTGTGAATTTTTTCCCCAAGGCGATGGAGCCAACGGCGAACGGCTGGTGGCACCGGATAGATAAATGCGGATAGATAGATCGAGATTTCGATTGCCCTAGTCATTTCCTATCTGTCACACCGTAAATCGACATGCAAATCTGCTCATATCTGCACGTTCTTTAATACCTAGAATAACAGTCGTGTAATGCTGTTTATGGAGTCGTAAATCGATAGATTTGGTTGTTTCTAAAATTGGATACTTTGACAACATCCACCGTCA